TTTAAATCCGTCCTATCCGGTCTTTATCTATGTTGGGTCAGATCCTGATGTTTGAAAAAAATGGAATGACACTTTAATAGTCATTAGATCAAATATTTATCTTGCACGTCTAAAAAAAATATATTAATTTATTTCAAATATTTTTGAATTTGAACTTAAATTTGAATTCTAAAAAAAAAAAATAATAAGAATTTTTTTTTTTTTTTTATGTCCTATTCTGGGTCATTGGGTGGGTGGGGTGGTGCCCTAGCACCCTCTATTGGCCAGCCTCTACTTTAAGAGCTCTTATCAATAGAGGTCTTCACAGCTGGCCAGAAAGTGATCTTTGTGGATTAACGTTTTTTTCTTTGACACTGATGTTTTTTTTTTTTTTTTTTTTTTAAATGTACCTTTAAGGGATAATTCAAAAATAATGATTTTATTATAACTGAAGTGTGTAAAAAAGGGATCTGGCCACATTACCGGGTCATTTTGAAAACTTTCCTTAGAATTTTGTTCCACATTTCAAAACCCACAAAGCTCCCTAGTAAGAAAAGCTTCTAGACAAGGAGTCGTTGCAAGGCACTAAATGTGCAGTGAGAAGTGGATTCTACCGTAAATATATAATTAAGTTCCTTAGGAATAAAATTTTCTTAAAAAATTTGGACTTACTTGTAGACATAGGACAAACTGAATCTGTACTGCAGTAATCAGTGACCTATGTCTCAATAATGGTGCTTTTTTATAGTAGCAAATCGCACACATGCATTACTCCCACCAAATTATTTATTATTTAGAGAACTTTGCTCTTACAGCTGAACTGAAGGTTTTTGTTATACTAGACCAGCTTAAATGGAAACCAAATTGTCTTTGTGAATGGTGCATGTCTAATCTAAAATTATTTTGAAAAAAAAACATCCCAAATCCTCTGGGTAAATTGCAGTTATATATTTATAAAATGAAGCAAAAAAAAAAAAGAAACTAAAAGAAATATATTTACTTTCAAACACAGATAATCATTCTAAACAAGTTTTTGAAACCTAGTTATGAATCCCAAAATAAAGAAAAATCTTAAATTGACTGAAATTTACTTTCCTCAAGAAGTTAGCTCCTTGATAAAATTTCGGATGACATGTATTGTAAGAGGAAGGTGAAGAGTGTTTGTTTTCATCAACCTCCCCATATCATAGGTTTGCATCAGCTCAGTTCAAAAATAATCCTCAGGTGCCCTTTAATACTGCTTTAGGAAGCCCATTAAGACAATGTTTCATCAGAACAAGTCTATTTTTATTTGATTTTACGTTTTTACGTAACAGAATCAATGTGCCATAATCCACAAGGTATTAAATTACACAGTAGGAGATTGCTGCTTTTGGTGTGCATGAGTGAAGCCTGGCAACTGGGAAATAAAATTTTTTTCTAACTTAAATAAAAAAGAAAAACAAAACATTAAAACTTTTTTTCTTCTAAAGTTTTACCCTCAGTTTTATTTTAATTTTTGCCTTTTTCATAGCAACAGTACAATACCATGTGCCCTGCTCCGACCAGCTCTTAACTCTCCAGTGTGTGCAGATTTCTGTTGAACTAAGGTCGCTTAGATCTCTGCCTTCTGCCATTAAATGACTAACTGCAAATAACGAGCCTGCAGGACACTAATTACAAAAAATATACCTTAAAAAAATGCTCTAAATTAAATGATATTCAGATTTTATTACTGTTTTATTTTAAGTTGATTTTGACTCAATAATTTTTTCTGATAGTTTAACAGAAACAGCAGACCTAAAGATCTAACCTTAGAGAAGCTTAGACAAAAATATTTAGAATCGGGAGGAACTTCATTATTTATGCAGAAGTGTCATCATAAAGAAGCTAGTTCTTTTAGCATGTTAAAATGCATTTGCAAACGGAAATGACTGCATGTGAATATTGACTAATTTTTTTATTTTATCTGAATGTTTAAGTACAACATTTCAACATAACTCACCATCATTATTCCAATTAATAATGACTTTTTTCCGATTTTTCAGAGCTTTTTATTTTATTAATAAATTAATTTACATTAAAAACTATGCACTTTGTCATTTTTCCTGAGTTAATACTTGTTGTACTATAAGCCTTTTTAAATCCTAGTTGTGAATGATACTTATAAATAATATTTCTAACTTCCAGGTCATGATTATTAGTAGATAATCACACTAACCAGTTACTCATTCTGCTTGGTTAATTATGTCTCTTTATTTGAATTCTTTGTGCCAGATACAAGCTTTTTGAGGGTGAGACTTCACTACATTGCTAGCACTTGCTATGGCTGCCTGATCTCATAGATGAAGACATGACTCCTGCATGCATTATTAACCCTTAAACTACTGCTTTTGGCCCTGCATTTCCATCCTGCTCTGTCATTGAGATGGGTAATGCAAAACTGTGAGGAAAGCAGCACCATTTTCATTGAGAAAGATTACTTCTGGAATACAAGCTATTCCTTGGAGATGTTTGCAGTTATTTAAGGGTTAACCAGGTATATCAACCAGTTCTTGCTTGTGTTACAATAAATGCATGCATTTTTTTCCAACAGATACAAATTTTTTGGGAAAATACCATTTAATGCACTTTTTTTGAACACCTGTGTTTCTCTTCTTTTAAAAATCCTAAAAATGCATTTTCAGGAAAAGAAGAATGCATCTGTTTGATATATTTTTTACACACACATTGCAGTTTTTTTTTATCTGACTGTCAGCATTCTCCAAAGGAAATAAACCTTTCTTTTCTCCTGTGCCTCACAGTCCTATTGAGGACTGTCAGAACTTCTACAAAGACTTCACCTTGCAGATCGACATGGCGTTCAACGTGTTCTTCTTGCTTTATTTCGGCCTCCGTGTAAGTAAACATTTGACTAGTGACAAGTTTAGATTATGTGCTTTTGTATTCTTGGACTATAGACCAAAAAAGAAAAAAGAAACGTTATCTTGCTGAAAAGTATGTCCATATACTGTTCTGTATATGAACTTGATGTTTAGAGTGTATGTTATCGTTATTCAATGGACGGACACTCTTCAGTTTCTTTGTCTCTTAATCAATCAATCTGAATTCATATGTAGAGAAAAAAAAAGTATAGAGGGTGCTTTTAAAGAAAATAACACAGAGAACATATCCAAATAAACACCAAAAGTTAAGAATCTGTTAAAATACAAGCCTGGTTAAAAAGATTAGTTTTTATTAGGGTAGTACCCCAAGTTTGCCTGTGATTAAGACACATGAGACCATTGTCTGTGATGTACAGGTTCCAAGAACTTTTGGAGGTATTTGCCTAAAGCAAAGCTGCAGTGCAGCAGTTCCTGCTGTTGCTGCTGTTGGACACCTTTGTCTCTTGCTGTATTTACCTTCTGCTTTTCTTCCTTTGAAGTGCTTCTATAAACATTCTGGCAGCTTTTTTTGTGTACCTTTTCTTCTTAATACGGCTTAGATCTAACTTTCTCTGTAGGCCCTTACATGAAAAGTAATTTCCCTATAAAAAGCCATTTTTATGTTATTCCTTTGTAATGGTAATATTTTTTGTGAATAAGCTCAATATATATCTCTCCGTATGTAATGAACCTATTTAAGTTTCCTCTTTTTCATCTCATTGACTTAGACTTAGACAACTTTTATTGTCATTTTGTATACACAGTGTATACAAAATGAGTTTTGGTTTAGTACAGCTTTCTACCAACAACAATTCCATCTGTTAATGTGCCGCAGTGATCAAATCTAAACAGTGCGGAGAAAAAAAAACATGGCGCAAAAAAAAAAAAATGCATTGAAATGGAAGTTAAGAGCATTAAATATATAGGGTGCAATTATGCAGTGTTTTGGTTTGGTGTTGTCAGTGCGATGCAGAGACTGTGACATGATTTTTTGGTAAAACTATAGTTTAAAACTGGTTCTTTCATATTTTCTGTTTATTTCTGTAGTTTATCGCTGCCAGTGACAAGCTGTGGTTCTGGCTGGAAGTTAACTCGGTGGTGGACTTCTTCACAGTTCCTCCCGTCTTTGTCTCGGTGTACCTCAACAGGAGCTGGCTGGGTGAGGAGGATCTCTTTCTCTTATTTAACAGATGAACTTCTCATTAGAGCAAAAAGAGTCCTACATTAAGAGACCACATTTATTATCTTATGGATTCATTATTGCTAGTCTTTTCTCCTTACTGTAGCAGAGTTATACACTACTTCTAAGAAGATTATGCATTATTTACGTTTTTTGTTATGCTTATTTTGATTTATTGATGCTCCTGCTTTGCGTGGACATTGGGCTTTGACCATCTTTTGGATCCCCTTCCTCTCCAGCAGAGATTTCCAGTTCTTAGATTAATTTATGTGTTGTTCGAAAATAACTAATTGCTTGTGGGGAGAATAGAAGAAGAAAAAAAACTTTGTTTGGTGCCTTGGAGCTTAAAATTGAAGTCAATCCATTGAATGAGTGAAGCTCATTACTCAGAGAGGTGTGTGATGAAATACAGGATTACCACATTATCTTTTTTAATGACCTCCAGATTTATTTGTTTGGTAACAGAAGATCTCCCTTTAGCTATAAACATCTCCTACTCTAAAGATGGAGATGAGCAGAAAGAGACAGGTGTGCAACCTCTGTCATGTTCCTCATAGGTGACTTGAGGCATAAACAAAGTAAAAGCAGGCATAGTTGTTGGCTAATGCTGTCATCTAGTGGGCATTCTAAAAACTGATTGCCATTAAGAAATTACACATTACTTTCGGGAGGCTGTCATTGTTTTGGTGTGATGAGCTGTAAATTGGGCACTTACTGGAGCACTTTGAGCCAAATGGAATTAGCTTTTCAAAAATAAAGCATATTACTCATATTTGCTGGATGCACTTCTTGGTATTTAAGGAACAGGAGTATCTATCTATCTATCTATCTATCTATCTATCTATCTATCTATCTGTCTGTCTGTCTGTCTGTCTGTCTGTCTGTCTGTCTGTCTGTCTGTCTGTCTGTCTGTCTGTCTGTCTGTCTGTCTGTCTGTCTGTCTGTCTGTCTTTATCACTGGATCGATGAACTGATGGATCCATCCATGACATCAGTTGCATCTGTATGGCTGATGGGTATGCCTTTACCAGCTTAAATGATCTACCAGAGATTGATTTTTGTCTATTTTCCTCTATAAAAAGTTCAAGGCCAGTAATTTGTCTTTCCACAAATTCTCAAACAGACTGGGTTAATCTTAAGAAATCAATATGCTTATGCCCATTGGCTGAGTTTGTGCTCTAACAAGCTTCTAACATATGTTCTTTTAGTTTTGCCCTGTATTTAACTCAATCTCTTATTGAACTGATCAATTTCAAACGGAGTTTGTCTGAGATTTCTGTCTGAGTCTGACAAAAGTTGATACCTGTGAGGTTCTGGTCCTAATGATCATCTTTGCTCCTTTTCTTCAAGTTCTCACCTCAAACTGCACAGCAGCGTTGCTGCTATTTGTGTACATGGTGTTCTTTTTGTTGTCCTTTCAGTCGAGCACGACTCTAGATTGCGTATATAACTAAACTTACTTTTTCACTAGTATAGTATTATTAAAGTAATATCTAGTGTTTGGATTTTTACCTATAGAGTAGAATATCTAGGCAGCGGAGTATTACTTTTTCAGATAAGCTTCTAATGTTAGTGCATTATTTTTTGTCAGAGATAGAGAATAAAAAAAACAAGTAGCGTTTAGTAATAAGCTGTCCACCATTTGAACGAAATGTTCCTGTATTTTTTTTAATATAGCAGTTTCCAATTTCAGGTCAGAACCTTAAAAGATTAAAGATGCCTCTAACTAAGATGATTTACTGTATTGCTCTTAATGCTCAGTACTCTTTTGTGAAAAAAAGTCATCCATGTAAGCTAGCATTTCAAATTTAAAGATGAGATTGCAATGTTTCAGAGGGTTTTTGAATCAGAAATACTGATATGAAAGATTTCAGCAGTGTTTTTATTCTAGTGTCTTGACCAAATATTTACACATTTTCATTCTTTTAGTTAAACCCAAAGAAATTAATCACAACAGACAGGAAAAAACTTGTATGGCTGCAAAAACTTGAGATTGAGGTGGAGGTTCAGATTTTATTTTGTGAGAAACACTAATCCACATTTACATTATATAGGTTAGATCAAAGCACTTTTATTTTCTTAAGCCTGAACTCAGTCTAATTCAGAATCTGTGGCAAGACTAGAAGATTCCTGTCCTGAGATGCTTTCCCGCCAATCTAAGTGGACTTGAGCTATTAAGCTAATAAGAATTAGCATACATTTCAGTCTCTTCATGCATGAAGCTGGTGGACACATACCATAAAGCTGTAGCTGCAGCAAAAGCCAATTGTACCAAGTAATGGCTTAGCTTGGATAAGTTCAAATGCACTGCCCACTTTTTGATTTGTGATAAGAAAAACTTTTCAAAACCTCATCATTTCCCCAGATCTTTGAAAACATGCATTTGTCTGTGACATAAAGTCTAAGTAAACACACTGAGGTAACAACAAAAAAATGGCAATATATGGAATTGTTCAAGGGGTTTAAATACATTTACAATGTGTTCTCCTATTTCTGACAAATATCAATGAGATTTTCCTGATATTAAGCCTTTTTTTGTGTAATTTTAATGGAATTTACAACACAGTGAAAATCAGTAACAGTATTCTAGCAGGGATCATTTTTTATATTCTATCCAAATATTAAATGTTGATCTTTATCCAGTGAAATGCTCTGAACATAGTTAAATTATGTTTTTTGTGTAATCCTCTTCCCTCCCCCTCCATTCTGACAAACACTATTTAAATTAATCTGTTTGGAGTTTTTTTCCCTGCTGTGGCACTGAATGGCAGACGGAGCGATCTCTATCAGCTGCTGATAGAATGTGTCACATTTAGTTTTGGGGTTAACTGACATTATGGTTAATGCATTGGCTATGATTTATTTAGGGATTATTGGAGAATCACTGAATCTGTGCCACAGAAACACAAACTATGATCACCATAACTTCCAAATGTTCTGCGCACAGCTTTGCTGTACGGTCTTGTGCAACACAGATACAAGCTGTTCCCTGCCCAAGATTAGTGAATGAACTCTTGTTCATGAGTAGTACTTGTAGAGTCACAGAGATGAGATGTGGGTTATATTGTAAAACCAGCTGATGGGCATGAATGCAGTCCGGCTTCTTCCTTTCCTTTCCCAGGATGAATCCTAAAGGAGCTTACACTCTAATATCCTGATGGGAAAACGGCTTGCTTTAAGCTTGCACTGAATCGTCAAGAGAATGTTGCAAAGGTTTGCGGGACGTCAGAACACCATACTTCTTTGAAGACGGGGCTGATTTTTCTTGTTGGAGAGTGATTTTTCTGCTTGATTTCACCTCATAAGACTGCAGAATTTTGAATGCTGTTTTTAGTTTTATTTAATTTCGTACCAACTGGAAGCTCGGCAGGGTGGTTTCTGAATATGATTCCAACAAAGATTTTAGTGTACAGGGGCCCCAATGAGGACACCCTCTCTAAGACGGTGCAAAGTACAACAAGACGCAAGAAATCAACAGGGGAGCTTTTCCAGAAGGGCTACAGGGTCAGAATGAGCCATGGGTTGGTCCCTGATAAAGAGGACCAAGACAGCTTCTGCTTCAGTCTGGGTGGATGCTTTCACATGATTTCCTACTGGGGTAAGATCACAGAGGGGATCACTCTGAAGTGGAAGGCTAGCAGTTTGATAGCTGTTTATCAGCTGGAGCAGATACAGGCATGTAATGCTGCAAGCCTGGCCCATTTTAACAGAGGTGTTCTGCTAACGCCTAATATGAAGATAGTATATTAATGCTGCTCCTTTGATTTCTGTTTTTTTTTTTTTTCTCACGTTTGCAGAAACCTACTTCAGTGGGGAAAATGTTCAGTTCAAAGGAATGCTTGTCCAGATTGAACCTTCCTAATTGTATTTTCTCTTAATTGTGTAATTTTCTGCAAATTTCAGGCTGAAATGCTTCTTTGTTTTTTGAGCTCATCAGCAGGCTCTTTTCTTTTGGCACAAAAAAAATGCTCCAAAAAAATTTTTGATATAAAAGTTTCAATTTAAAACTCTAAAATATTTTCAGAATGAATATTGTTTTAAAGAATAATTTGTATTTTTTTTTCTATTGCCATATATATGTAATAAATTGGCTTTATTTTTTTTTATTTCTTGTTATATATTTTTGCAAGGTGGATTTTGATCTCATTAGGCCTTGACCAAACTGCAGAATTCTAAACAACAAATAACCTGGCTGCAAATTATTGTCTTCTTGTTGCTGTGTTGGTAGGGAAATAAAAATGACATCATTATTTAGCACATTTTATTCAGAAGTTAAATGCATATGATTAACCAAGGTTAAAAAAAAAAAGTTGCATGTATCCTGCTGTCAGTAACTGTTAAAAGGTTTGTTGTGTTCTAACCTTAACTGAGACCCACAGTGTTTTAGATGTTGCTCTGGGCTTTTTCCTCCTGAGGTGAGCAGACCTATAGATGTCAATGAGTTTATTTCTCATCCGTTCTGATATTTCTTTATGTTGGGGCGCAATGAGCTGCTTTTATAGATCTTTTAGCTTGCTTCATGTTATCGGAGATTATTGATGAAGTGATGGGTCGATTCTTTAAGAGACAAAGTAATATGTCAAGATCTACTTTTTCAGTAGTAGGTTGACTTCCCTTAATAAACAAAAACATCATTCTAAAATTGCCTTTTGATTTTTAGGCTACATGTATCTTATAATGACATTTTTTGTGTTACCTGAACATTGACAAAACAGCTAGACTATAAAAAATTTAGAGGTTTGATTTAGTATGTTTACTTTTATTTTCTAATTTGTTTGTTTGTTGATTTAAATAAGTCTGGTCGTAGAAAACCTTACATTTACACTAAGAAACCCTCTAACTGAAATGCTTTCTAAAATGTTATTAAAATCTTTTTTTAGAAAGGATTCTCTTCCAGGCTGCTGTTAGCACAGCTGCTTTTGTTAGTTATATTGTCCTTGAACTCTTGGCAACAATCAACAGCTCTGTTTTTTTCCCCTCCTCTATAAATACCCTAAAATTTCGGATTTGACGTCACAACTGCTTTTTGATTCACTTTGGCTTGACAGAATCCACCTGTCTTTACTCTAATCCAGGTTTTCATCTCTCCCACGGTCTCAGTTTTGCCGAGCAGGAATGACGCCTCTCTAAGATAGATATCGGCCCAGCAAGATGCTACTGGGATTAACAACAGAATACTCTGGGTTGATGCTGGGCTTTTCTTTTTTTGTTTTTTTAACCAGATTTTTCTGAATCGATTTGATATATTTAGTCCTAAGGGTTACTTGATACTTGTGGTTTATTCATTATCATTATGAATCCACTAAAACTGTTAAATATGGATGAAAGTATGAAAGGTATGATAATGTCTTTGTCAATCCACTATTCATTGTCGATATTGCTTCTGGTTTATTTTCAACAATTTCTGAATGTTATCTTTTTTTTTACACAGGTTTGAGGTTTTTAAGAGCCTTAAGATTGATACAGTTCTCAGAAATTTTACAGTTTTTGAATATTCTGAAGACAAGGTAAGAGTCCTGATGTTCCTCCTTTTTTCTCTTCTTGATCTGATTAGGGTGTTACGTTAACCTCAGTTGCCTTTTTAAGACAAATTTGAATGAATTGAATATTTGTGGTAAAACTTTATTAAAATTGAAAATTAACAGATTACCCAAATTTTAAGGAATCGCTTTGGTACCAAACAAACTGGAATGAAGCAGCTTTCTGTTTTTGCTCTTGCTGCTAAGAATTAGAGCTTTATGCACAGATGTCATGTCAGGAAGATTATAGCATAATAAAATCCATCAGAATAATCTTCTTAGTCATTGACTCAGATGAAAGTAACACACAAAGATGTGGGCACAGTGCAAGGACGTTACACCGTGATAAGAAACAATATGTGTGATATTTACAGCCGCCTACACTAACTTTATCTATCCTTGCACAGCATTAATATGTGTCAGACATGTACTGCTTTTATTACCATAAATCGCTTTTATTTTGAAAAATATTAGTTATATTATATATCAGTTATATTTTACAATACATTGTGAACAACTGTTTCAAAATGAATTTGATTTTCTAAAATTGATATTGAGTAAATTATTCTTACATTTGTTAAAAGTGACAACCTGTTACTAAAAATATATGCTTGACACATTATATTTTATTGTCTTTTTTCATTTTGTTTGTAATTAATTAAAAACAGCAACTCCATTAAGTTGGTGAACTTGTGTTCAATCTTCATAAGCACATGGCTAACTGCAGCAGGCTTCATCCATTTGGTAAGTCAACTGCATTTGTTTACATATACTGTACATCTTAGCCAATTAGCATATTATGATAGTAAAATAGATTTATGAAAGTAATTTAATAAAACAGTGAAACATGTTTGTAATATTGATTAGTTACATGCAGATTGATATATTAAGAGCATTTGTTTTCTGTTATTTTGGAAATCATCCCTTAAGGCAGGGGGTCATCAACCTTTTTTAATGCTTAGAGCTACTTCATGGGTACTGAGTTATAGGAAATGGTAAATGGCCTTTACTAGTGCTTTACACTACATTCAGTTATTCACACATTCATGCCCACACTCTCACACTGATGGTGGCAAAGTCATTGTAGTTTCTGTCACAGAAGTAAGGCTACCCTACACTTGTGCTACCGGGTCCTCTGACCACAGGAAGGTCGACCAATACTGACCTATGACCTGAAAGAGTCAGCATTCACCTAAACGCATGCATTATAAACATATTTTATTTTTTCTTTTCATTTCTAATTTACTTTTAGATTTTGTCATTTTGAAAAGGATTCAAATGCTTTTATGCTCTGGATGATTAATATGATGAAATGCTGTAGAGATTATTAAAAAAGAAGAGCAAAAGAATAAAATAAATATTCAAGCTTAGCCTTAACTTGACCACTACTGAGCTGTTCTGAATTTAGAAAATGCTGAAGGCACACCATGTGGTTCTTGAGGGCCCATTGGTGCCCGCGGGCACTGCCTTAAGAACAACCAAAGTCAAATTAATTGATTAAATGAAATGTTAGTTATGTACCTTTAGTATTTAAATTGAATTATATTAAAAAAAAAGTTTTTTTTTTTTTAAATATCATTCTTTAAGGTACACCTTAAGGACTAAAGCATTTTAATTGAACAACGATTGCTTATACACACACGGACCAAATTGTTGGTCCCCCTCGTTGGAATAAATAAAAACCCTGGTTACAGAAATAACTTAAATTTGACAAAAGTAATAATTATAATTCTATTAAAATGAAGAAATATTATTAAAATATATTGCTTTTCAACCATACTTCATATGAATAGCTTAAAAAAAAAAATTAAACTTTTGAAGATGTGTCCTTTAATTGGCATCTCAGGTGTCTACAATCTTGTAATCAGTCAGTGAGCCTATAGGGTTACAGGTTGTTGCTGTGTTGTTTGGTGAAATGGTGTGTACCACACTCAACATGGACCAGAGGAAGCAAAGGAAAGAGTTATTTCTGGAGATTAAAAATAAAAATTAAGGACATGCATGTTAAAGCTAAAGGCTACATATTATTGCACATATTATTCAGAAATTTAAGATCCAAGGGACTGTAGCCGAATCTCTCTTGATGTGGCTGCAGGAGGGAAATTAATAAAAAATCAAGTAGGACCGATATGATAAAAAGACAGCCCAGAAAAACTGCTAAAGAGATTAAAAATGAACTTCACACTCGGGAAACATCAGTGTCAGATCGCACCATGTGTCGTTGTTCGAGCCAAAGTGGACTGAATGGAAGACCTCGGAGAACATTATTGTTGAAAAAAAACAATAAAAGTACCGGAATTTACCAAATGACATGTTGACAAGCCACAAAGCTTCTGGGAAAATGTTCTATGGATAGATGAGACAAAAACGGAACGTTTACCAAGGCATATCAACTCTATTCACAGATGGAAATCTGTAGAAAAATCAAGAATTTTAGAGATAAATATGCTGCCCACTGTCAGAAGCACAATGTTAAAAATATCCAAGAATGGATAAAAGGAAAACATTTGACTATTTAAAAGTGGCTCTCTATGAGCCCCGACCTAATGAGGATCTTTGGAAGGAGTTGAAACATGTCATCTGGAAAAAGCACCTTTTCCAGATGACATGTTTAGCATATTGGATCAGTATGCTAATAAGGAATGGGCCAAAATACCTGCTGAGAGGAGCCGAAGTCTAATTGGCTGTTACAGGAGTTATTTAAATGTAGTGATTGCCTCAAAATATCAAGTGAAGGATACCATCATTCTTGTCCAGGCCTGATTCATAAGCTTAAAAAAGTTGAAGCATGGTTGAAAAGCAATGTTTGAGTTTAATTTGTTAATTTTCATAGATTTTTTTATTTATCATTCATTTAGTCAGGTTTCAGTTATTTCTGGGGGCATTCTTAATTTTTCTTTCATGAAATGAGGGGTGCCAAAGTTTACACTCATTGTGAGAGCTGATTGCTGTTTATGTTTACTATTGTTTAGTTAAACGGTCTATGTACAGTAGATGTTAAGATAATATAAAAGAAAGAAGACATGTTTGTATAAAATCAGCATTCTGATCATTCCAAAATAACATAAAATGAACAGTTTATCTGAAATTCAATGTATTTCCATGAAAACAAATCATACGTGAGAATTATTTGTGTTTCTGTAAATCTCAACCTCTCTTCCAGGTGGAAAACTCAGGGGATCCTTGGGAAAACTTCTCAAATTCTCAAACACTTTCCTATTGGGAATGTGTCTACCTACTAATGGTTACGATGTCGACTGTTGGCTATGGAGACGTTTATGCAAAAACCACTCTTGGCCGCTTGTTTATGGTCTTCTTTATCCTTGGTGGTTTGGTAAAAAAATCCTCTTATTTATCTTTGCTTTAAAATATTCTTTTCAACCAGCTATCTCACTTTGCAAGTTGTCATAAATTACAGGGACAGGGATGTATTTTTCCCCCGTTTATTACTTTTCCAAATATGTTGTATATCAAGTAATGTATGATTCATGCACCGCATTATAAAATGTTAAAGAATTTTAAATTTTCCTTCAACAGTTAAACCCACAATTATTCTCACACCTGGCAGATTTAGCATTGATTTTTTTTCACATTGTTCCAGCAAATTTATAAACAAGAGAGATTGTCTTCTCCGAATAGATAATTAAAAATTGAAAAATGACTCAATTTGGGTTGAAAAATTATTGATCTGTTGCGTTTTATTTGAAAAACCTGTTTAAAATCAATATACTTCTCAATAATAGATTGAAATAAACCTTTCTTGGGATTAAAGCAATTTTTTTGTTCTTATGTTTTATTGCTAACCAGAGAATTACTTGTTATTATCGTTTTCTCCATGATTGATATTTGGTCATGGAGTCTTTGAACTTGGAAAACCTCCCTAATTCCATGCTTCCTGCACAGATTTTCTGTGTGATCCAATTCTTATGTCTTGCTGAATAATTATAGAATATTGATATTACTTTTAAAAACAAAAACTAAATGACTTAGTTACTTCAAATCTTAATCTGCTTGGTTTTTGAGTTATTTTGGGTTTAACTGTACTTTTCTGTTATTTGAATTCAGGAAATTTTCGTATGTTTTGCTTATTTTATGAAGAGAGTGCTATAGTTTCAGATGGCACCTTCCTACCCTTCCCCTTTCAACAAACACAGTGAAAGAATTGGGTATGATTTACAGGAGCACAGATTTATGGATGCAGCAACATAACCGATTGTCACTCTGCACAGATATTTCTCTCCATCCTAATGCTTTCAGTGGTACTATTCCATAAATTAACCAAGCAGTTTAAAAAATATACAAAAGTAAAACTACTCAGCTGTTGGCAAAATATACGCTTATATGAAGCAGGTGTTTCATTAATAATCAACAGTGATAAATATGAGGCTTTCTTGACTTACAAGAAACAATCTTCTTCTTTGATATCAAGAACTAATGTTTCCAACACTGATGTTACCACTTACATTACTGAGGGTTACTTTTATTTAAAGTCATCTGAAAAAAATATATATAACAAAGGTCAAGATTTAGTGAAAAAACATGCTTGTGTTTTTTATCTCATGACATTCGTATTGCTTAATTTAAATATATAAAAAAAACCTATAGCTAAAAGGGAATGAAAAGAGAGGATGTTAAGCATTAGTTTACCAAACGTTTACAAAAAGTGAATTAAATAACAGACCCTTCTGAAGAGATATAAAAAAAAAAAAAAATCACAAAGACACTTAAATTTAAAATGATTATGTTTTATAGGTCGATTCTTCTGATTTTTAAAGGAGATGGTTGCTTTTAAAAAAAATTCTAACTGTAATATGAAATTTACTGCAGTTGACACTTCATTATCCAAATTAAAAAAAAAAGGTTGTGTTAATTTTTTTCTTATTTTTTGAGGAAAGGCGGGTGGAAATAATGACTTTCTAGTAATCCAATCAGGGGCCCAACAAGACAAGTTTTGGAACTACTGACAGATGTTTTGGCATTTTGGATGGATGTGCAGCAGTGCAGTGTTAATGTTTGTCATTCAATCTGTGGTGTTTAAATTAACCCGACACATGTGTTTGTTGAACAAAACATGGCATTTAAGGCTTTTTTCTTGGTTTTCATCTTTTTTTCTTTCTACCACAGATCAGCATATTGCTCATCCGCTTTCATTTTTCACCTATTTTTCTTCCAGTATCTGTAAATATTAACCTTTGAGCGTCCTTTTTTCATCCTCAGTTAGAATGTAATTGTGACAAAACTTCAGGTTACATTCAGCTCATATTAACCAAGTTTTCCTTGCGGAAATTTCTTTCCTTTTAATGGATATCATTAATACCTTTGCATATGTGGCTGCGTTTCTACTTCACATTTATCATTCTGCAGAGAGAACATAGGGCCTCCTCCTCTAGGCTTGTCGTTTTTAGTTTCTTCTTCTGTCTTCTATCCTCTCCTTAGGCCATGTTTGCAAGCTACGTCCCTGAAATCATAGAGTTAATAGGAAACCGCAAGAAATATGGTGGTTCCTATAGTGCTGTTAATGGGAGAAAGTAAGTATTCAAGGAGGCTCTACTGCCTCCGCCGCAGTAGAACCTTCTCTGCATGCCCTTTTCTTTTTCTTTTTCATGCATGTAGGCCATGTTTGCTCGCTACGTGCCAGAAATTGCTGCTCTCATCCTTAATCGGAAGAAATATGGAGGGAGTTATAACTCGACCAGAGGCAGAAAGTAAGTTAAACAAATAGAAAGGAAAAAAATACAGATAAAACTTGCTATGGTGTGGTTTTGTGTGACTCGAGTGGCCTTCTCATAAGGAGATGTTCACATTGATTAGACATAAGTCACACTGTGACTGAAGAACTTGGCCATGATTAATGTATGTATTGCTTTGCTTCAGCTTTTTTTGTAAAGCTTGTCTTTGCTGCTTTTCATTTACCAATGCTTAACTGCACTGAAAAGAAACTTCAGTCTTACCAAGGAGTTTTGGCTTTTAAGATAGTGCTGATTAGTTTTCAGTTTAAAGTTTTTATTTTTTAAGGTTTAATTTTAAAATGCTCTGAGAACTGTTTTTTATTTTTTTGTAAAGAAACTTTTTTTTTTTTTTTTAAATAGTAGATTAAACGTAAAATTGAATCCCTGTAAGCAAGGTTTTCCTCCGATGGATGAAGATGAAACTATTCCAATCCTTAAAATTGAACAATATTCCTTAATAAGGGAATTGTTTTTTCAGTGCAGGTGAATATTTGTCATGCTTTAGTAATTCATGTGTACATTTTTTCACTGTTCATATACTGTGATTATTCATTTGCTGTAGTAGAAATGGGTTTTGCTGATAGTTCCCTCTTAAACAGTACCTCCATAATGGAAACCTCTGGTAGTTATGTGAAAACAAAGGCGCAGTACAGCTTTAAACAGCCTAATTTAGCTGCCCCAGTATTTACATTTGTTGCTAAACTGTCATTGGCATCGAGTCGATTGTTTTCTTTACACTAAAAATGTTATGTTATCCCTACTTCCATAATCTAAAAATCCGGATGTTTTATAGGGGTACAAAGTTACATCAAAGGGACAAAATTTGGAAAGTTTATTATAGATGGGTTGGCTTACCAAAAAAATAACATTTTAATCAAAGAAGCTAAGAACATGTAATACTTGCAAGTAAAGGTATATGATTAAAAAATATAAATAAGTATGCTTTTTAAGAAATATTGTTAAAGAAGTGTAAAAGAAAGTAAAAAAAAAAAACACAAGGCAAGAACCAAAGCCTTTTACAACTCCTCAGATGGTTTAAACTTTGGGAAAATCATGAACTATGTTTAAAATCATGAACTTAAAATCATATGTTTAAAGGTTGTAGTTGGTTGATCAACAAACAACCAATTTAAAAGAACCATTTCTCATAAGCAAATTTGTCAAAAATTCAGCCACTAATACTCGTTTGCTTGGAGGGAAAAAAGTTGTGTTCTTTAGAACTTGTACTTTAGAACCAAATGATATTGCTCATCTTATTGGTCTGTAAGAATGCACTTAATATTATTTATTATTATTGTATTTCTAACGTGCTGCATTATTTCTACCAAGCATGCTTTAAGAAAATCCACCCTAGTGGTCAGATAGAAGGAGCTTCAATAAAAAAAAACACATTGCACAGAAAAAAAGATAATTGATAAAAAAAAGATATATATTTTAAGGGACAGACAACCTCATAAGCAGATGGATGCATCACAGTTTGATTAAAAATAAACATGAGAAAATAAAGTTTCATGTAGTTGAAATCAACATTTCCATGGTCAATGCATAGCCATTTTTGTGAATCATTCTTCACCTTATTTAGTTAATTCATATTTCTTTCACATAGAAGAAATAAACATAAAAAAATCCTTTTAATAAATAAGGTCAGGTAAAAAAGGTGAAATTTCAAATAATAACATCACATATTTATGCAAACAATATATGTCAAATTTTAGAGTGCCCTCCAATGGTACCTTTATCCCTTAAAAAAATTCAGCTGTTGTGAAATTATAGTTAGACCTTCAGTGTTTTTGTTAGATTTCTTTAAGTTGAACCTCCATTCAATGCAAGTGCAGCTACAATCCTCTGGGGAGATTTCCTTCCAGAGGATTGTATGTTGTAATCTAGAGATGTTTTTTCCTCAGTTCTTCTTTGCAAAATAGCTTAATCTCTGTCACACAGGAAGGAGAATATCTGTCAATTTAAATGTTATAATCTCACTAGATTCTCATAAATATTAGAATTACATTTGGCCATTGAATAAGTATATGCTTTAATTTAAACCCTTCTATTGTACACCAGTCTTGCTGGAAAATGAACTTTTACCTCAGTATAAAATATTATTTTAAAGTTCCTTTTTCTCCAGATTAATGACTTCAACCCCCCTTACTGTTTTGGAGATAGGTATAGAGGAGGATGTTCTGTTTCTGGGTGGATCATCAAAATAAGTGGTCCTCCTAATTCTCAATCTTTCTGGTTATATGTTTATGTAAAGCCCCTATTTTACTCTTACCGGTGGTGAGTCTGACATTGTGGAAAAATTGCAAATCTTTTTTAGGAAAGTATGAGCGATGCAAACAGCCACTTTTAAGCAGGCATTCCCTCTCCATAGCAGGTACAGGGTTGTGGATGAGCTTTTTTAAAAAATTTGAAAATCCTCCACTATACTTTAAAACCCTAATAACATCTTGTAGAGTTTGATGTAGTAATGTGACACGATTAGAAAAAATGTTGGAGGGGTAGGAATACTTATGCAAGGCACTGTAAAACAAATTTTACACGTGGTGAAAAGTCGTACTGACACTGAAATTCCGAAAGTGGTCATTTGGCGTCTATTGAAGAGCTATAATTTGTGTTACTTTTTTACAGAAAGAAAAAAAACATTTGTAAAAAGTATTGTTCCCTTTTGGGCTTCAGTGTACCTGCACTTACACCTCTTAAGGAAAATACTACAATCCTCCAATTGCTCCTTTCTCTCATCACCTTTGTCATTCTTATTAAATGTGCTCTTCATCTCAGTTTGGCGCTCTGCTTGTCTTCTCCCCATGCCTTGCTTTTTTGAAATTCTTGGCCTTTATCTTCAGTCTGAACTACACCCTGAGTCCTAAATAATATCTAAATAATATGATCTGAAATGCTGGGATTTTTTTTTAATTTTTTATTTTTTACTGGTTTTGCTTTCTTGCCAAAAATTGGATGAGAGGATTGACACATGTGTTTGTCCTCAAAATTATTCAGCAATGGTACTTTCATTGCACCGATCAGAAAACATCATGAACGCCATGCTCTGAGACTTCTTCCTAAAATAACTAAATGAGGAAAGCTTATTGCTCATTTTGTTGAACAAGTTGGTATTATAGTTCTTAATGAAGTATTCAAGTTTATTTAATATTGAAGAATCTATAAAATTTTCAATTAAACTTCATCACAAACTTTTATCCTATGATTCTAGTTAGCTAAAATAATAGATCACCTTTAAGTGAGACTAAATCAATTTTAGATAACATTTTGTGTAATTTACTAAAAAAAAATGTGTTTGGTCCACTGATTAGAAGTGTGTTCTTTTTTTTCTTCTCAATTTGCCTCAACTTACACTTTTTTGCTGAGCTGAAATGTTAAATATAATCAGCTTCAGTGTATCCTGCAGATTGAGCCAGTAGTTTTTAATTTAAAAAGACTGGAAAGTCCTGCTATCTGCTTGTACTTTTGAAGGTTCCTTATGAACCATTGTGTTGAAGTGTTGGCCTAGTGGTCAGAACAGTGCGCTTGTGCTCTGAGAAGGTTGCAAGTACCCATTTCGAGCACCACAGCCTGCACTGTGGGTCCCTGAGCAAGACCCTTAACCACACACTGCTCCCCGGGCGCCACACAATGGCAGCCCACTGCTCCCCAAGGGGATGGGTTAAATGCAGAGGTCAATTACTCCAATATGAGATCAATAAAATTCAAATTATTATCAATTATTATGAAGTTGGAAAACCAATTATTTACTCAAAACAGCTATATACATATACTGTAAGCTACCAAGCCTGCCAAAGTGGTTTACACCATTGACTAGATAAAGTTTATTTTATTTTATTTTATTTTTTAAGAAATTCATTGAAAATAACCCCAAATATATACATTTCTTTCTTCTTCTGGCAACAGTAGATTATGCTGCTGAGAATAAAAAGTGATTAACTGCACATACAACTTTGTATTAACTTAACATATATACATATGTTTGTTAATTATTTTTTTATACATAATTTTTTGATATAATGTATTATGATTAAAAGCTTTTACAAACAGTGCTTGGATCATTAGAAGAATTGACTCTTCGAGAACTTTTGGATTCCTTTCTCTATCCATTGCTCTGTTCGAGGACAAAAATAAGTATTAGAAGCCCAGGTTGTTTTTAATTTTTAGTGTTGACCTAATCTTTTGTAGACAAATCATTTTTTTAGGATCTCCCAAACATTTTATCCATCTATCTTGTTCGGGATGCATGAAACTGTTCTTTCTGGGGCAATAATGATAGCAGTGGTATTTTGATGCAGGGCAATGGTTCTTCCTCACACATCCCCATAATTAAATTACTGTAAACTATTTTAATACTAGCTCAACACTTTCTAAGCACCATGGTTTCCTCTAAAGAACCAGTACTAACATTAAGCAAGCAGATCATTTTTTTTCTAGATGAACACACTGAAAACTTATGTAATCTTTTATGGGTCTTTGGTGCTTATTTGGGCTTATTTTTAGAAGTTTATGCATAAGATTAAGATGTGTAACCTCTCAAAACCCACGTTTTAAAGCCTTTACAAATAATAACTCAGGTTAAATGTTTACCAATATAGACATGTTGGAAAGCTTAGATTCTCCACAATCCAACCACCTACAGTATTTCATTTTATGGACGTAAGGAGCACCAAAGCACAATTAACACAGATATAGCAGCATGTCAAAAATATACCATGACAAAGCAGCCACAACAAGCAAGCATGTCTTTATAACTGCTGTTAAAAAAAGATCTATTATTTTGAGAGTAAAAAAACAAACAACTTTGAGTCTTGTGTGAGCTGATGCAGCTTGGGCTTGATGCAGCTTAGGTGTTTTACTCACCCAATTTTCATGTATATATTCAGAAACTAGAAGGTGTTTCTTTCAAATAATGTATTTCACATGCAATAGGCCTTACAGTCCTAAGTTATTTGCTTTTCCATTTGGGTATGCAAAATAGGTGAGAATTTCCCAAAATGAGGTAGATATTAAGAGGTTAAAACTTAGTTGGGTTACAAAACAGCATCCTAATTATTAAACACCTCACAGGGCTCAGTTCAATCCATCCTCTGAAACACTGAAGAGAGAAGCAGCCAAGAAAAAACATGGCTCTGAAGGAGCAACTCAGCAACACGAACTTACTAATTAGTATATTGGTGGATTCCAGAAATTTGAATAGTGGGGAAAACTAAGGAACATTTTGGTTGTCCGAGAATCATAAAAAAAAAAAATTGGATGTAAAGTTTGTCATAATCTATGTAGCGTGTACACCTAACAGAAAAGATGCTACAGTCATTGGTCTACATTCAGATTCTGATGTGTTGAAGAAAATTAACACAGCACATCACCTACAGACATGATGGTGGCAGTATTATTTTTGAAAGAATGTTAAAATAAATAATTTGCCTTAGTAAGCAGCAGTTGTTGTTGAGCTACTACTACTGCCTCCAGCTCTATATAAAATATTATATAAAATAAATAATATAAAAATAACAGATAAGAAAATAAAATAAAGTTTTTTTTTTTTTTGTAAAAGTAAATGTAAAAGTTTAACAAACAGGGATTCTTTTGAAAGGTAATAGGTAACTGCTTGCCTCTTATAGTGTGCTTATCCTCTTAATTTCCACCACTATCGCTTTTCTGATTTTTTTTCACTTGAATTGGATCATTTGGAAATGTTGATTAAAATTAATTGACATGTTCTGTACAGTCTGTGACATTTAGTTTTCTTTTATAAACACACAGAGGTTCACGTCATACTGTGTGTAGCATCTATCGAAACAAGAATCTGAGATGACCATTTTATTATTAAAGACAAATTTAAATGAGGACAGGGCTCAAACTAATCTAGGTTCTTTATATAACTGATCCGTTATAATCTGATGCTGAAATCCACTATGCTCTTTGACCTTCTCATCTAGTCCTGCCTCATCATAGGAACGTCAATGACAGTTAACGCAGTTCTCAAACGAGTGCTGAATTTCCATCACATCCCTTTCATTTAAAATAAAACAAGCGAAAAACATTGTCTCTGCTTTTATCTCCTGCTGCCTTCTAGTTTTATTATTGTTCTGCCCCTCATTTTCCAGGCACATCGTGGTCTGTGGTCACATAACGCTCGAGAGTGTGTCCAACTTTCTAAAAGACTTCCTACACAAGGACAGGGATGATGTCAATGTAGAAATTGTTTTTCTCCATAAGTAAGTGGCATATATTTTTATTGTAGTTGATTTCAAACTGAAACGGATCATGTGGATAAAATTAGCATTGATCAAGATGCTTTTTGTGAACTTTCAGATTATTTTTAATGACTATTATTTCCCATTCTCAGTATTTCCCCTAATCTTGAGCTGGAAGCCTTGTTTAAACGTCACTTTACCCAAGTAGAGTTTTACCAGGGCTCAGTCCTGAATCCCCATGACCTGGCCAGAGTCAAGGTAACAGATAATAGTTCTGTGCTTATTTTACTGTCCTGCTACAGTTGGGAGTGTAGATAACTATTTCCTTGTTTTCTAGATTGAATCAGCTGATGCCTGCCTGATTTTAGCGAACAAATACTGTGCGGACCCAGATGCTGAAGATGCATCCAACATCATGAGGTTTATAAAACCAAATCTGTTTTTTTTTCTTCTTTTTTTTTTTTTACTATTCCCTATTTTCCTTCCTGTTATAGCCCTTTTTGTTTGTTTTGTTGATTATTTTTTGGAACTGAAGTTTCTTCAGTTGCTGACAATTTTAATTTTGTAGATGTAGATAAAATAGTGCAAAGCAAAAGCCTTTAAATAAAGGCGTCAAATACTGTATATCTGGACAAATAAACAAAAATACATTGGTAAGACGATTAGATATACATTTAATGTGCATTAATGTCACTTAAATTTGAAAAAGTTTTAGAACTAAATTTGCACTCTCTTTGGGGAATGTGATAATGAGCCAACATATAACTTCAATTAAATTTTAATACAAAAACGTAACTAGTACCTTCAAATTTTAATGCAGATTTAATGTATTTCAGACAATTTTAAAAAATGCAAGGTCAGGAATATCTGTGCAGTACTGTTAGAGTTTGGATGAAGGTTTCTTTGCTCTTTCTTTGTTGCTGTGACTAGAGGCTGAGAGTTAATGAGAATGGGCAGTTAATTATTGTTGGCTTTATAAAACCTATTTTGTTTACATGTTCATGTATGATTCTTTACAAAAACTATGTACTTTCTGTAAATACTCCAAGTTTCAACTTTCTTCTGTCCATTATCAGGGTAATATCGATCAAGAACTATCATCCCAAAATCCGAATAATAACACAGATGTTGCAGTACCACAATAAGGTTGGTGTTTATCTTGCTGAAGAGATTTATTGCTGCTGTCAATAAATATTATGATAAAATCAAAGTTTATGTTTTAATGAATGTTAAGATTGATTGAGCTTTATATGCTTTTCACCTCCTCAGAAATCTGCATTGAAAAACCTTGTTTCTGTTCCCTATAGGCGCACCTTTTGAACATCCCGAGCTGGAACTGGAAGGAGGGGGACGACGCTATTTGCCTTGCGGAGCTGAAACTGGGTTTCATTGCCCAGAGCTGCCTGGCTCAAGGCCTCTCCACCATGCTGGCCAACCTTTTCTCCATGAGGTCCTTCATCAAGGTATCCCTAAGCCAGCCACACTTTTCAGAATTTTGTGCATATGTAAAATATCAAAACCATGTATCATTTTCTGCTACTTGACACTGATGCACTTTTATGGGTTGATCTAACTCATAGAGTTGGATAAGATAAGGTTTGTGTTTGTAATATGAGAAAAAATAAAAATCTAAAAAAAGGGAGCTTTATTAACAGGCATTACAATTTAAATATTTGCTATAAGAATTTTTTTTTCCTCTTAAGATCGAGGAAGACACATGGCAGAAGTATTACCTGGAGGGAGTAGCCAATGAGATGTACACTGAGTACCTGTCCAGTGCCTTTGTTGGGTTATCCTTCCCAGTCATATGCGAGTAAGTAGTCAAATTTTTGTAAATCTATTTTAAGATCTTGATTTTCTTTTTTGGTTCTATGTCCTTCTGATGTGCAAGCAAGTAACATTTCTTAGCATCTATATAACATTTTAATCATAATGTTATTTATTTTATAATGAATTAGAAACACGTTATCATGCAGAGTTCAGCATCCACAGTACACCATAAACATTTAGTCTAGAGTACCTCTATTAAAACACACATATGACCATATATAATATTCATAAAAACAATTATCTGTAACTGAAAATATTTAGCTGATCAATAATCTTATTGTTTTACTGCTTTCCAGACTCTGCTACGTGAAGCTGAAGCTACTGTTGATAGCGATTGAGTACAAGTCTGATCAAAGGGAAAGCAGGTAATTAGTGCCACTCACTTTAACTTATTTAAATTTCTTATTTAATCAGGTCAACACTGTTGCATTTACCAAAACTTCTCAGCATTGCTGGTGTTATGAAGAAGCACATTTGCAAAAAGAGAATGCAGTGCAAAAGATTGACTCTGATGGGACTGCATTCCTGTCATGTCATTGGAGAGAATTTAATGAAATGTAATGATGTTCTGACAACAAATATGCTGGTGTTATGGTACAAGAGGAAATAACTGACCTTCTGCTTCAGCACCTTGATCAACCCTGGAAACCATGTGAAAATGGAGGAGGGGACCCTGGGCTTTTTCATTGCAAGTGATGCCAAAGAAGTAAAGAGGTGATTAATTAGAGCACTTTCATATTTTCCACAGGATTTTAATACTTGTGTGGCATGTGACTTAAAAGAAAGTAAAAAAAAAGTTATCATGTTGAAACAAATTGACCATATTTAATAAAATGGATTTAATAGGTTTAATCACATATAAAGCCTTCAGACATAAAAATGTAGATGAACTGGTTTCATTTATGTTTTTGGACCTGGAAGTAAAGCATGTGCACAAGTTTCCATTTATACTAAGAATGCAGAATTATATAAAACATGCAACTAAACAGAAACATAAATACAGCAGAAATACGCAGATGTTTATTGTAGAATTGAGAAAATCTAAATCTCATGAACCTCCTGCTGTACCTCCTTCCACGACCACCAGGTTAAAAACCTCCGCTTTGGAGCATGATGTTAAAACTATTTTGATCACTCTTCACTGCTGCAGTACACTGAAAATTCAAACAAAGGTCAAGCTCTGTTTATTTTACAAATATGTTAAATAATCACATGCTATACAGGATTTATATCCATATTTACATTAGTTATGCTTTTGAGAGACAATATTAGTATTGAGATATTAGGTAATATATCAGGTATTTGTGACACTAAGTAGTCATTTTTTAATAAAGTCATTTATGTATCAATAAAGCTTCGATTTGCTGTAATATCATATAATTTGTAAGCCTTTTCTCTTTTATCCAGAGGTTATCTGCTTTTCATATCCTGCTAATTTCACAGCACATTGAATTCTTTATATTTCAAAGTAACTTGAAAGAGCACCAACATTTATTGAATTGTTTTTCGCTTTTAAATCTGGTTCTTGTTCTTTTGCAGGGCACTGTTTTATTGCAAGGCCTGTCATGATGATATAACAGATCCCAAAAGGATAAAAAAATGTGGATGCAAGAAATGTAAGTGTTCATGCAATAGAACAATGTGTTATAGTTTGACCTTTTCATATTTTTACATATGGTGAAGTGAAGGTAGAAATTGAGAGATATTTGGTTTTTAACTCAAATATTTATTTTATAAAACCCTGTAATTTTTTTTCTCCTTCTATAAAATCCACACCTGCCCCTTTAAGAAAAATACTCTTCTAGTCTTAATGCAACCAATACAGCCTTAAGCTGTCTCCTCAACTTAAATTCTATCAACTGAATATTTTTTAAACACTTGCCCTCACATTTAGTGGCAAACCTGGAAGAGATGTGTGAAAAACCTTGATATAAATCTATCTTTTATTCCAGTATGGTGATTCCCTAATCTTTTTTTTTTTTTTGCAGTTCTGCAATTGCGAGCTTTTGACTCCTTTTTTTGTTACACACCCTCCAACTCACTTTTTACTATAAAAGGATTAATTTAGTTCTAAGGACATCCTGGTTTGTCACAGTTTTTAAATTAAAAGCAAACATTGACTTTGTTTGTAATGAAAGTTACGTTATATTGTATATATCTCCTTTTATAAGATTCAGGCGATATAATAGAGTTTTAGAGAAAAATTCTCCTCTGTATCACATATTTTTACCTTAGGGAAAAGAAAAGTCATGTAGGCTATTAATGATTAAAGATATGTTGATCAAAATCTAAAAGATAATATCAAATAGATAATACTGTATGCTTTAGTTCCATCCATTTTTAAGAACCATGGAAGTCCCTAAAGCGTGGAACCTGTGGTGTTGCTAAAACTATGTTTTTTTTCCTTCACTGAATTAATATGTAAAGCTGAAATAAAAAAAAATAAATATATTTTAAGATATTTTACACATCTTGCTGCTAGTAAGAGTGAAAAATACCTTTGTCTTTAAGATATCTGCATTTTTGATTAACTTTTAAAACAGCTTTATTTAACCAAAGTGCCTTACTGCCAACACTTACATTTTGATATTTAAGATAAACGCCATTTTAAAGAAAGGTTTTGGCAAATACAATCGTTTAAGAGGTTCTATTTTGATTTAAGGCCTTTCAGTTTAGTTTAAATAGGTCTTGTGTTAATCTTTGATTGTGATTTTTGCTCTTTTTCTTTTTTGTATATTATCTGTGATTTGATCCTCTGCTTCAATAAACCTGTTATGTTAGCTGGAATTCAGACAGCCTGTTACCACCAACAATATCTGCATTGATCCTGTTATAGTGTAGTTCTTAAACTGAAACTGAAATTATTCTTCTTATAACAGACCAACCAACACGTAACTATTGAATTTTATTTTATTTTTTTCTTGCTGCTTTGGAACTTTTTAAACCACTTTCTAGTGATATATTGTGAGTAATGTGATGGGGTTTTTTAATTCTACAAATAAACAGCCTGCTCCTTGCACCCCAGACTCTAGCGACCTGTTTGAATGCATTGTTTATGTTGCATGTATGGTGGATGCTTGCTGCCTGGGCCACCGTCATTGTCGTGTGTTGTCTTTGAACTGACATTTAAGGATATTAACAATATTTCTAACATATTTATTTTATTATAATTCTGTTGTTATCAATATTCTTTTTTTCTATATAGCATCTTTGTTTAATTATGGAAACTCTGCATCTTTAAGCCAGTAATTCCCGTGTTCACCACAAGGTGTCCCCACTCACCAATGAAAAAAACCCACTGGAAGAGAAAAAAGAAACCCTTCTTGTTTTAGATTAATACAACCCAGTTCCAGTTCAGTTCCCAGTTAATCTAATATGCAAAAGTATATAAAAAATAGAGTGTAATTAAATAGGGTAGATTATTTTAGTAAATTGGTTGTCAAGGATCCCACCTGTAATAATAGATCTATTACACACAGTGATGTATATCAAGTTTTTTTTGTTTGTTTGTTTATTTTGAATATTATGGCTTATAGTGGATGAAAAAAACAAGTTTCAGTTTTGTTTTTTTTAAAGAAAACTAGAATCCTGAAACAGACCAGTGAAAGAGTTTTTTTGTACATTATATTCTAATGTTCATGTAGTGCACATTATATGCATTAAGAAGTTTGGACGGGATTATTTTTTCTTGATTATATCAATGTGATGTGACACTGAGACAAGCAGCAGGGGATTTAACAAGTCAGTTAAGTGTATACTCCTGTTGCTTTCCTATAGTGTTTCCTCCTACTCAGCTTTACACCAATATTTGTGGAAACAGTAAAACTAGCACCTTAAGCAGTTACCTTTGGTTACTTACCTGCCTCAACAAGACTGTCCACAATTGTCTTTTTGACAACTTTAAAGTCAGCAGTCTTCCCAATGATTGTGTTGGTCACAACATAATTGACATTTCTTTTCCATAAGCCATGATATTCAAATTAAATAATAATAATAAAAAAAAAAAACAGTTTGCATCACTCTGTGTATAATATGGACGGATGTATGTATGTATGGATAGATGTATCTATGGATGGATGGATGGTATTTTAATTGACGGAGCTTTAAAGTTATTCAGATGTAGTTGTTCAGTGGCCTTATGTGGTTTTGCATAAATTTGAGAACATCTCAATTTTGTTTCAGGATGTGCTGAAATACTTCTTTTTTTTAACTTATTTTTTTTTTTTTTTCAATCTGGTACATTTGCCTAACTTTTTGTTGCAGAAGGCTGATTTTTTTGTTGGTATTAAACTCATAACACACTATGAGTTTAATATTTTAAGCATTTTAAGATATTTTAAGCATTAGCTCATTCGGGCCATGACCAGATGCGGTAAAAGGGGTAAAGGCAGTTGTTTTATTGTTCCATTATGTTTATAATTTAATATGAATCAGAAACGTCAATGCCTAAATTCAAGCAAGATATAATCTGAATAAAAACATTTAAGTTATGAATTTTTCACAAACAGGAGAGACCCAGAGAAAGCTTGTTCTGTAGCCTGCCTGCCTTTTCCCTCTACTCCTCCAGAATGACCCTCCACATTAACCTGTCCTTCCTCTCCTTTCGTCTGGACCCATGACTGTAGCCAAGACGCCTGCCTACAAGAGAATGAGACTGGCATGTTGCTTTGATCGCGGCCGCTCCAAGTGGCAGCGCTCTTGCATGCCGGTTAATGTTCGTAGTAACTTGGACTACCCTCATCAGGACATACCACTCTCTGCTCTCTCTGTTAATGATTGCTCAGCCACTTTACGTGCCTGTAAGTTGTCGCCATGACGTGTGCTCTTTGGTGTGCTCTGTGTCGACTTTGACTTTGCAGTGTGTCTGCAGCTTCTGCTTTTTCTGGCTTGAGATGCTGTGTCCTTTCTTTCAATAATATACAGTTCAGGTCAGAAGTATACATACTTTACACTTTTCATAATAATACATTAAATTATATGTTTGAGCCACCCTTTTTTCTACGTGCAATATATTTTTGAAAGTCTTTAAAATACATATTGAAAACCATGATTAGATATTCAGGTTTGAATTTATTGCATTTTGTTTTTTATCCACACAAAATTCAAATTTAAATGTAAACAAATAGGCTCAAATATATGAGAGTACTACTCTCATATATTGAGAGAAGGGAAATATTAATTCAGATGTACAGTAATTTAATTAACCAAATTTAACTGTAGGAAAAATCAAGTATGTTTGTCTCAATGATTATTTATGTGGTTTAGAGAAAAAAAAAAATCAAAACACATTCCAATAGTTTTCTGCAGGATGATTCATTTTGGGAAGATTATATATTCAAAACGAAATTGTTAAATGGCCAATTTAATACTAAGATTCCTGTTATGATTGTGTGTGCGCTCCTGATCTGAACTGTAGTTGTTGCTTTAGCGGCCTTTTGATTGTGTTTAGTCAGCTGGTGCTTTTCTTCCCCTTTGCTTTGTCTCTTTTAGAAGATATTTCTCTCTGTTGTGTGAAATGCAGGTGGTTTGTTAAGAAACTTGTAATGTAAATTTACCTATGCATACATTACATAAATAGATAGGTAGTATTTAAGATAACATTTTGCAGATAGAAGAGTAATTGTTCCTCCAGAAGAAGAAATAAATTCTCTTCTATAGTTTAGTTTATGCATACGTGCAGCACAGCTTGAGATACATACACAAACATAGGATTGTATAAAAAGCACTCTTTGTCATCTAACTCCTTTACACTCGGATTAGTGTGAAGAAGTTTGATTAGATTGAGTCGGTTCATGTTTTCCAAAGATAAATCAAAATAAAATATATTTTCACATCACAAATCAACCCTGCAGAAATGACCAGTAAGTGCATATTTCATGAGACGCTGACACCGACAATATAAAAAGTGATCTTGAAAACACCTGAGGGGAATTTTTTTTAGAAGACTTCAGCGCATATTAAGGTCATTGTGTTTGTTGTTTGAAAAAAATCTAATTAGGATAAAAAGGTCTGAGGGTAAAATCAGCAACACATTGAACAGCGCTGCGTTTGCTGGATGTGCTTTCTAGTTTTTAGTTTTCTAAACCTGAGTGAAGTGTACAGTAAGAGGATTGGATTAGAGCTGGATCTTAGGCGGAATAACAGAGAATGGCACAGTGCTGGATTGTATTGAGTTTAAAGGAATTGATTTGAGCTGAACAGGAATTCTTAATTCAAGTGTGATTTCCCCTTTAAAGCCTTAAAGGGGGATATACTGATGAATGGCAACCGACTTACAGAATATGTGTCTGAGCTTTCAGTGTAATAATATGCTGGAAAACATTTAAAACTGCCATAAAATCTTAGCAAACATCTCCAGATCAAAGACCGTTCTGAGTGCAGTTGAGCTTCTCTGGGCGTTTGCGCCCCTCTGCGCGTCTTCTAGGGCTGTTTGCCGGGAGATTTGCCTGGCTAACAAAGCTCCGGCATGGCTGCACATCCGCTGTCGACACGGTGCGTAAGGCACGCGGAGCAAGGCCTTATATGGCTTGACGTGGAAATTATGTTTGCATTTTCATTTTTGGAATGCTAAAAGTGCACCGGTTATCATGAAACTCAGCCTGACAGTTTGTAACCACCAGGCAAGCCAAGTTGCCCCCACCCTCCTCTTCTTTGCTCTGGTTGTGGGACAGATGCTAGCCTGTTAGTCCTGTTACTCTACTCGCGCCCTCCGATTACAGGCGACAGATGCCAGGACCAGCAAGGTCCCTGTTTGAACATTGCTGTCACCATTGTGCCTTGAGCTCAATGCATGACCTTTATTGAGAGCGAGGGGTCAAAATAAGTCACTAATGAGGAGGGGTGGGATTCATGCACACAGAAAAGTGACTAACGGAAAGTTCTGTGGATTCATGCAGGTTCTATAGGTATATATAAGGAATGGAGAAGAGATTTTAGAAACACCCTTCTAATCTTATTTTTTAACAAAATATGAAATACTGTCCTTGTATTTGTGAATGATGAACAAAATAGCTATTATATTCTTGCACATAAATTAAAAAAGAAGCCTCTCAATGAAATGTACTGTAGTGACTTTACTTTACTTAAACCCCTTTGGGGACAGATAATATTTTTTATATCGTAACATTAATTTTTTTTTTATGATTTCAATAGATTTTTGGTAAAAATTAAAGTTCTGCTTTTTACATATTAAAATTTTTCATTTAAAGGGTATAAAGCCAAGCAGTAACTGACCATTTAGGCAAAAAGTAGTCTTTTCAAAGTGCACAAACTCCATGTGTTTGAAAGGGGTTAAAGTCTATAGATTAATTACTTGTAGGATTTTTTATTTCAAGTGTTTCTTCTGGTAATTTTTTAGGATTAGGGCTTACCGCGGACATCCCCTACAAGGAGAGTAAGCTGCAGTAGAAAAGCTCATTGCTAAAAAGGATGCCTGTTCACAGAGTTCTGTGTTTACGCATGTGATTGGAAAATTGTGAGAAAGGACAAAGGGTTATAAAATAAAGTGTAGAAGCAGCAGGGATAACAGCAGCTTTGAGGAGATTGTGAAGCCAAGCCCATTGAAGATTTCAGAGGACCTTCAGATCCTGGCTTCCAACTGTTGCATACTGTATGACTATGACTATGTTAAAGCTAACTTCTATTTTAAATTTCGAAATCAAGGTTTCAGAGTCTGGACAAAGTTCCTTGAGGTTCAGTGGGAAGTTTTCAAAGATTTGAGAGCCATGTTTTTGGTCCCCCGATTTGTTTTTTTTTTTTTGTTTTTTACATCAAAATCAGTGCAGCTACACTGCAAAAACGATCTACAAATATGTAAAAATTTCTTAAACTAAGTGTATTTACTCTTAATTTGAGTAGGTGAATAAGAGGATTTGCCAATGGAATTAGAAATGTTATTATAAAATAAGAAAATTAGGTAATATGCACTTGAAACAAGCAATTGTTTTTTCTTATTTTAAATGTAAATTGTGTTCTTCCATTGGCAAAGTGTCTCACTAACCTCCTCAATTCAAGAAAAGATGCACTTATTTTAAGACAATATTACTTATTTAGATTTTTGCAGTGTATGTATAGGAGTGCTTTATGGTTTCCTCCTGCTGGCCGGCCCAGAACCTTGGATCTTCCCATAGTGCTACTGTTAAAGGACCAATACCATTTTTAATTAATTATATTGATTTCATTTTATTGATTTGCTGATGAAGGTTCTCAGTCATCCAGGTCATAGTCATTCCGTAAAAATTCAAAAAATATCCACTGGACTTGGTTTTCAAGATTTGAAGACGTTTCGCCACCTCTCCAGGAAGCTTTCTCAATTCAAATGTCTGGATCCGCAGTGAGTTTGAGTCTTATATAGACAACGCCTTGTATCGCTTGGAAACATGCAATGGTTAACGACCCATTCATCGGTTACCATTGCATGTTTCCAAGCGATACAAGGCGTTATCTATATAAGACTCAAACTCACTGCGGATCCAGACATTTGAATTGAGAAAGCTTCCTGGAGAGGTGGCGAAACGTCTTCAAATCTTGAAAACCAAGTCCAGTGGATATTTTTTGAATTTTTACGGAATTTTATTGATTTCTTTTCTTTGTGGTTATAAATAGCAGCTAACATCAGTTTATTGTTCAAATTGCTAAAATATATTTCCCTTTCAGAAAACGTAGCTCATTGCATTTAGTTATCGACTTGCCGCTTCTGTTCTTGCCAGATGAGCATGCAGCGGCAGTCAAATTAATTGCTGGTGACTTTGTAGGGACCCTCATATCAAAGATGCATGTAGCCACAGTTAATAGGAAAACGTCCTTTTAACTGGAAGAAACCGTCAGTAGAACCAGGCTCAGCATGGGGAGCCAGAGAGAAAAAGAGCATACACACAAAAAGAACATAGAAGTACTGATGCAAGAATATTTCCCATGTTTGAAAAGAAAAAGAAAGATAGAAACAGCTTTAAATATTATGGTGTAGCTAAGCTTAACTGGGCAGCAAACTGGCTTGATCTAAACCCCACATTAAATGTATAAGTAAGATAGCAGAGCAAATGATCCAGATGATCAGAAGTCTGCAATGAGAGATACAGGCTGGCTGCTTACAAAAAAACACACATTGATACAAGTATCAATATCTTATACTGTACAGTACATGGACATACATTTCATCATGCATTACATCTCTGTATCAGTTATCTTTGTTATTCCGATGTAATAATGCAATTTTGAAATTTCACGAACTGTGAGTCATTATCCCTAAATTTATAATAAAATATCCACAATTTTATTATTTTTTAGCTTATTTTTAATGATAAATCTAAACAAATATCTGAGCTAAAGTTCTGTGATGTTTTTACTGATCCACAGCCTTTTTTTTTAACCTGAATTTCTCAGAAAGATGATGACATCCAGGCTTTGAGGCAATAATTTTCACTGTTGTAAAGCAATATGTCACGATTCGTATGTGCTGATGGGTCAGCTGACCTCAAATGATTAAAAACAAGCAATATGTTTCTCTGGAAACCGAATACATTTTTTTTAAATAGTTTGACAAACAGTCAGTTTATAGAGTCACTGTTTGATTAATTGATAGGCAAAATATTTCTCAAAAAGAAGCAGAAAACTTGATTTTAAAGTACATCTTTCATCCTAATGACTTCTGCTTTATTTCTACTTTCTAATTTCAGTTGCCTTCAAGTTAATTCTCTAGATTTCCTTTTGCAGTGCCTTAAAAAGACAAGTTCCTCAGCAATCTTTCATCGTTTTCATTTTTTTTTGCCTTCCATTGCCGTCTGCTCTCCCCTTTAACCTCTCATCCATCTCTGTATTTTCCTCAGCTAAAAATAGCTATAATGGATATATCAAATCAAGTAAGTGTTGATTTCCTTTCTCTGACGTTTCTCTCTAACACCTCCACATGTGCATTCCCAACTGTCGCCACCTGAGCTGTCTCTAACCTGTTGTATTTCAACTGTCTCCCCTGTCATCATCTATTACTGCATTTCCACTCAAAGCCTTAGGAAAATGTTTCTTTATGCTCCACATTGGCACTAGGGGGTGCCCTCACCTCACTGTATGTGTGGAAACATTAAATCACTTATCATTTGTAAATGTAATAAAAGTATTTAAAAAAACATGTATAATCCTTAAAATGACAGTTTATTTCTGGAAATAAGCCCACTGGCATTAGTTAGAAAAATAAAATACTTGTAAAAGTTGATGTAATATTTTGCAATTTCTCATTTAGCCATCAGGCAAGTGTCATCCACTTCACTTTAAAAGGATCTGTGCAGCAAATCTGCCACATTGTGTTGTCCTGAAGAAGTGCTGCTCATGTTTGACATGAGGCAGATATACTGTATACTAGAGGTCTGAAACAGGGAGGATAATCTGCTAGACAGCTGACTGTTGGAATAATCATCTCTCTTCTCTAGTTTTAGCTCCCAGACACTTAACTTAAATAAGCATTCCTCTTCTCTCTCTTTTATCTCCACTAGTTTTACCTCCTTTTATCAGCTCCGCCTGTTATAATTCACAGTGTCACATCCTCCTTTTTCTGGCACAACAATCACCAAAGCACCTGAACGCAGGTTTATTAATTCATGTTTATAATAATAACTGTCAAAGTAAATGTCAAAAAGAACATTTCATTGGCGGCAATACGAGCTGGTTAAGTGGCGTTAAATAAAAATGAGTTTTTGTTAAATTATTCAGATATTAGCATTCTTGTGCCAGAATGAGTTACCTACCCAAACTAGAGATTGGTCTTAAATTATTAATTTCTTTTATTAGCACAAATACACAGAAGGTTGAAGTTAGTTTGAATCAAGCCCTACCTTAAAGTCCCTTAAAGTTTTCTTTCTGGTACATTATTTTGACCCAGATTGGATTTGATAATCTGTGTTCGTTGTGTTTAATACAGAAAGAAAATAATTTTTTTCCGTATGAAAATCTGAATAGTTGTATTTAGCTTCCTGAATCAATGTTTGTTTCTGTAGAAGCACATTTGGAATCAAATCCAGCTGCACAGTTTTTTTTAGAAGACATTTCTATTAGATATAGATATTATTTAAATATATAGATATTGAAATGTTTTAATTTTCTTCTTTCCAAAACAGCTCAGTGTCATTTAGATAGGATAAAAAACAAAACTGTGGATTTTTATTTAAAATTATTGCATGATTTCAGAAAAAGCAGCCCCAAAACAAGATGCACCCACCACCGTGTTTCACTGTGGGGATGATGTGTTCAAGGCAAGCTATAGTGTTGGTTTTTCAAAATACAGTACATACCTTTTAGCAGATGGATAAGAAAAAAGGTTAAGATTTATTCTAATTTCACCATATTACCCTTTTTCTTATAATTGTTGTTTTGCATGGATGGCTTGTCACAAACTAATCAGGACTGGCACTCACTGCCTCTGATTAATGCTCTCCTTGCCTACCCTGTCAGTTAATGTGGGCGACATTATTTTTGAAGGTTTGCAGTCTTATACTCTGAAATTTTCTGTGCTGTATCTTTCTAGATTAAATCACTCATAGGCTGAGTTGGTTTTGTAATTATGTGAATACTTATGGCACTACAGTGCAATGCAACTTATTTATGGGTATTATAGTGAATAGAGCATTTACTAAAAACAAAAATCTATGACATATTAGATGTATCTGAATTACTTATCTGTTTATTTATGAGATGTTATGAGATTAGCAGATTCCTCATACAGCTGTTGATTCTGACTCCTCTTCATTTAGCAGTAAAAAGCAGCCCTGTAATCCGGCCACCACCTTATCAATACAAATCAGTTAAACTGAACCATGTTTCAGCCAGCATGGTCTGTAGGGCCCCCCACAGAGATGCTGCTGGTCCCATCCCGTTGGTAAACAACCGCAAGGGAAGCCTGCTGGCCCTCAGCAAGCCTTCTGCCCTGAAACTGAGCCTTGTGGGCTCTAGAGACCTGGCCCAGGTCGGCCAGCTGCCAGGGGTGGCAGAGGAGACACGTCGACTTCAGCGGGCGCGAAGCCTGCCCGTGAAGTACAGATACCACCACGGTCACCCCAGTATCACCACTCACAGTCAGATGAAGCGTAAGAGCCAACTACCCCACCTCCCTCCCACCCGTGCTGTGTTTGGCAGGCCTGTGTTCAACAACAATACCACTGAAGCATGTGCTTGCCAGGCTGGAGTGGCTGCATGTGAAGCATTCTTTGCTAATGACCCAGCCTGAGCAGCTGTCAGCTGCGAAACATTAAATATTGAATAGGCCGAGCAAAGATGTTAAGGGTCCCGAGTGTTGGAGCGTCCCTCTCCACTGGAGGCCCCTTCTACTTCCACTTTTTCCATTATGTTGTCAGTCTTAGACAGGCTATCAGTGCTAGAAACCATGTGTTTATTTGCAGATAAGTGCAATCTTTAGAACTTTATCAATTTTAATGAAAGCACTTAGTTTCTATCTTTGTTTTAAAATATAAAAAAAAAATAGGTGGAAAAAATACTCACAGCTTGAAACATCACTAAACACCCGAGTGCACCTTTAACAACCTGTAACAAGCCATTCACCCTTAATGATGCCTGTTAAAACTCTATCAGTGAAACTGCTACTCTTGTTCCTCCTGTTTATTTTCCTGATGACTTGTGCCCACCTTAGCTGTGATATTACCTTGTGAAAAGATATTTGTAGGGTTACTCGACCTGTGGTAGAAACATATCCGTCTGCCTCAATGAAGAGCTCGGCATGGTTTGGTGGAGTGATAAAGACTTTGTCCAAGGGGCATTTCCACTGTGCATAAATCTCCCTGGCACGAGGGCCAACCTAATTACATGAGCCAAGGGCACCAATCCAAAGACAAATGAACACTTGAAATTTAAGGGAGATACATTACTGTCTGCCTCATCATCTACTGTAGTGCAGGATGCTTAATAATTGCTGATTTTTGTTTAATAGGACCATAAAGTAAAAGGTATATTATAAATAAGCCATCTGTCAACACTGTAAAAGAATGCCATTTATCAATGAAGCCTTTTAACCATAAAAAACTTTATTATAAGACATTCTTCTTTTTTAAAAGAGCAAAATAAAGAGAAAATAAATGGAGTATTTTGCCCATGATACAGTAGTTATAGGACTGAAAAAGCCTGATAGATTTGACTTATGGTGCAAGATTTTTTATTAAAAAAAAAGCAACTATATCTAAACACTTTAAACAAACCAAACATCAACTAGATGTTTTAGTCATGTCAATCATTAATGCAAATTATACTCAAAAAAGGATGATTAAAATATTCATATTGCTATTTTCTTTCAAGATAATGAGCTAAATATTATTTATAAGAGATTAACTAAACGCAGTATGTTTACAAGTAAATAATTATGGAGCTATAAATGCAGCATTAAAATTTAGTCCTGGCAACAAAACAGGAAAATATTTTAGCTTCATGTTCAAAATTAAAACTTCTTATGCTTTACTGTTCAAAAATCGATAAATAGTTTCATCATTCACAGCTGTATTTTGACCAAATTTCAATAACACTACTTTGGGGTCTGACAAGCCCATATTTTTTATTCTTGTCTCATTCTAAACTAAACATAAAAGGGTATGTTTTGACTTTTTTACAGAGTAAAGATTCCTTAGTTCTCAAAATGTGTTAAAGTATTTCAGTTTGATTAGCACAGGTATTTTATTTATCTATTTATGTTTTTACCAAATAAAAAATGCTACCAAAATACAGGTATATATATATGGTGAAGTATCTTTGAGTCTTATCTCCATCACATGACTGAAACACTCCAGCTCTACTTCTGAACCCATTTTGATAGGATTTTCCTGGTGATAACACTTAACCCTTTATAGTGCACTCAGGGACATACTTTGAAAATAAAAAATTCAAGCCAAGAGTGTTATTGGAATCCAGGAAGACCTTATTACATTTGGAACATAAAAAAAAAAATATGTATGTTTTAATGACAAAAGTTTATGTCAGTGTAATAACAAGAAACGGCCACTTTCAAGAAAAATAAAAAGTGCTTCTACTGTATAAGAAATTCATGAAAAACACTCAGAGAGTGAAAGAAAAATAACCTTAATGCTGATTAACGTGCTAACATTTTTAACTTTTTTAGCATAGCTTATTAACCATTCAACTTTACTTTTTAATTTGTATTTATCTATTAAACTTTTTCTCTTACCATTTTCTTCATTGTTAACTTTTTTCAACTCAATTTACAAAAGGTAATAAATTATTCAAGGCTCATCTAGTTGGTCAAATGACAAAATAAGATGTGCAGCCATGTAGCAGTATCTTTGCTGATTGGCTGGATATAGATCTTGTGCTTCTAGACCTCACTGAGGGATGGGGTGACTCCATCTGTAAGGGGGATGCAAGTGATCAAAAACGGTAACTTGCCCAATAAAGGGATAAAGATAAATATTGTGTCATTTTATTACCAAATGATCTCATTACCCCTCTGTCATATTGTTATATTAATTTTTTTTTTTTTATCTCGATTTTAGCTGTTTTCTGGTTACAGACTAAACTTTAGCAATCAGCATGATGGAAATACTGCATGTTTGCATCTTTAAACAAATCCATAAAACCATGCACCATAGTTCCCTGTCTGCATTGTCTGTCCTTTCCACCCTGTAACTATGCAGCCTGTGTGTGTACTGTCTCTTTAAACTTACCAACCTGTTTCATCTCCTCATTTGATACTGACTGAGTTCAAGCTCATACCTTTACACTTTGTTTCAGTCGAGGAGGACCAACAGACAGCTTTATCACCCAAAAAGAAGCAGCGTAATGGAGGAATGAGAAATTCTCCAAACTCCTCACCTAAGATTACGAGGTAAGAAACTGGCGGAGAACATATAGAAGAACATCCTCTGTGACCCACCCTGACCTCCAGCCCAACCCCTTAACCTATTTTTTCCACACAAAAAACAACATGTCAGACTTGCAAATGCCACATGGTTTCATGTGACACCCAGAAACTCTAGCACTTAAACAGGTCTGGCACTAATGACAGCACCTAGCAGGGAGAGAGGCTCTAAAGGATGGATAGCCCAAGGCTATTCATCTATTGTCGGATCCCTCCGAGGTCTTTTCGGCACGTAAGGCCACAGATGATATGTATCATCCAAACGAAAGGCGAATTCAAATGCTACCTTGCTTTTATCTAGTCTCATGAAATGAAACCAGCGCTTATTGATCTTGACTCACGATAACGCTGTTATTCAACAAGAGCCCATTACCAGAATGATAATAGTAGCACTCATTGTCATTAAGTGCCATGTTATAAGGAAGCATGAGAGACCTGCAGCCTGATGATACTGAGGCGCAGATGACTTTTTATCAAACCTGACAGATCACTTTATGTTAGCATTGACGAATATGACTGCTGCCATATGGTTGACATTTTTAAAACTAAGTCCACATGTTTCTATTTTTAACATAAGAGGTGCAGATAGGTGATAAAACAAAGGTTAGAAAAATGACTTTGTTCTATAATAAATAAAATAATTTATATGTATTGGTTAGCATTTCCTTTGATCGTAGGCCTCAGGTATTTTAGGGTGGGTGTTTCTCCCCTATTTGATTTGCTTCAAAGTGGTGCTCAGGTTTAACCGCTGCAGGGTATTTCCAGATTTTTTAGCTAAAAAAAATAAACAAAAACAAACAAAAAATGGGCTGCTTGAGCACTACAGCCATCAGCCAAATGTGAACACACCAAACTGATCCATCTACTCACCAAGTTAATCACAGCAATACAGGTGGATGTGTTATTCCATTCAGCCTCGGCTCTCGACACGCTGGAGAGGGATTTGCTGCGGTGGCCTAAGGGATACCTCATTGTAACAAGTGCTGAAAAAAAAACATCTGAGTATATACTGTATCAAATGTGTTTTTATAGGACTTGGGGCCTCAAGGCCCTTGTAAATAAGTAATGATCAACAGATTGGCTGTGAGTTTTTGAAGCAACCCTTTGTCAGTATACATGACGGGAGGTTTTTTAAAGACTTTTAAAGCCGTCAGTGCTTGTGTAAGATTTAGAAGGAAAAAAATAAAGCATGTGTATAAAGTTTCAAGCAAATCCATTTAGACAACTTAGATTTTTTTTATTTTGCATTTATGTATTTCCAAGTACAACCAGATTTGAGTGCATTTATTATTGTTTTATGTTTTAACCAATATTTCACAATGAGACAGAATTTATCTTCCCACTTTTTAAAGTAGAACAACTAAAAGATTATGATTGGCTAGAGAGCATCTAAATCTCAAATCCTGCTACAGATGATCAATTCGGTCTAAGTCTGGACTTCTCTGCCTCTCACATTTGTTTTCTCTTCAACACTCTTGTGCTTTTGACTTATGGAATCCAGTGTTTGGTATTCCAGTGCAATAATATTTAATTACCAAATTTGTACGTTTAAGATTAACATAGTAAGCAAAAACATTTGCAGCAACACAAACGACCTACAGTTATTTCAGTGAGAAAGAATCGCCTCCACATCTAGCACACTAACGTGTTACTTCTGGAGCTTTGCAGTGATGACCTCACTGAAATTAACACCCCTTGCACAGCCTCTTTGATGGGTCATAAGACACATCTAACTGCGGCATGTCAAAACGTGTTTGGTCACATCGAAGCGTCTTGACATACACGTCATGTCTGCCACTGCACTGCCGCAGCAATTGGCAGTGTCGGACAGTGACAGGCCATCATGGCTGACGGTGAGCGATAGCTATCCTGGCAGAGCTCAGCTTCAACAGTCATCACTGCAAGGACAAACTAAAGCGACAGCAGCTCCATTGAGTGAGTGCTCAACATTTGACTTTTGATGAAATATTTAACCAAGGTGTAAAACCTCTAAGTGCTTTCACTGCTATAAAGATTTACATTTAGGGTCAGATTAAGCTGATTTGATCATATATAGACTGAGAAATGGATGGCGATTCATTGCTGCTGAATCATTTCATCAATTTATCCCAATTTTATACCATTTAACTATTTCATTTATGTTCTTATCTGGTTTTCACAAAATCTAAACTTTAATTACTTGTTTAAAGCTAAAACGATTAATTGTTTTAATGATTATGCAAAGTGAAAAAACTAGAAACCAAAAGACAGGTCAAGTCATGTCTGTTGGAATGATGGAAAACAAGCTTTTTGGGATCATAAAACCATTATCCAAACAGTAGTAATTGGACCAAGACATCACCCAACCAACTAGTGGATTTATTCACCTGGGCTCCAAGTCAAGAAAAGGGTAAAATAATCATTGGTCTAAAAATCCATTTATGATGTGGATAATAGCTCCACATTTCAATGCCATCTTTTCCTAAACATCGAGCTGTTAGCTCTGCATTTTAAAGAGGGAGACAGGAAGTTCAATTTGTTACAATAATTAAATACAGAAATGTAAAGAAAATACTTCCACAAATCCCTAGAAATATAAAAAAATAATAGTAATGATTATTATTATTATGAAGAAAATAAATAATGAAGTGTAACACTACAACTTTATATAATCCTTTGGCGGTTTAAATACGGGAGCCATATATTGTTGTACAATTTTAACTTGAACTGGATTAAATTAACCTGTTAACTATATTTTCTAGGGTAAAGTATGGTACGTTTAGGAGCAATTCTAACTAGTTGTTTGATATTGTTTACTTTATTATTGTAAAGTTTTTCCATACATTTCTCCATGTTTAATTATTTAAACATGGAGAAAAACAACCTAATGCTCCCTAATACTTAAAAGCGCTCTGTGATTTTCAATTTTCCAACAATAAAAGTATAAATGTCAACCACTACATATAAATAGAGTTAATATAAACCACAACAAATTGCTTCAAGCTTGGCCTTTTTGGAAATATAAATATTGTAAAGGTATTCAGACATGAGTATTTAACATGTCATATAAATTTGATATCAGTAGCTTTTCAATTTTCTTTTTTTGCTAGCTCTTCTACTCAGATACATGCTTATTTGTGAAAAACTAACTTTTCCTTTAGCTTGTAAAATATAGAACAATTAGATTTGCACTGAAAAGCCTTGAAGAACCGTTAAAAAGTAGACTTTGCTCAGATGAGGAGGCTAAAACTTGACCTTGCAAAAATAAATTTTTGAAAATGGGCAAATGCAATAATCAAGCATTTTTGAAATGAAGTTCACGAGGTATAATAGTGTAGCATCTGTGAATATTTTGTGCTTTTACTACAAATATGTTTGGTTTTAACAGGAATGTATTTTTCTTTTATGCCCTCTCTAAACTGTGATATTGGGCAGACAACAATACCTACTTATTAGCCTCTGGATCCATTTTAAAGGCCTCGGGTGCATTTAAAGAAAATCTGATAAAAGCCTCTATCATGCAGTGATAAATTGATGAAAATATATTAATTGCCTGCATGACAAAGACAACATAAGTCTCATTTCAATAGAAGTATCTGTTTAGAAAGAGTGTAAAGAGATATTGGGACATAGATCAATTAACATCAACATTAAAATTATGTAACCTTAAATTAAGAAAGTCGTGTATTTCATAACTTTGTGGCATATGCTAAAAAAGTATCTGAACGTATCATGTGCAAACAATATGTTATCATTACGATGCTATATCTATAATATATAATATGAGACAATTATTGGCTCTTTCTAAAAGTACTGCATTTTTCCACTCATAAATTCTTAGTGCATTGTCAAATTGAAAACTAACTGACTGAGTGGTAGCTAGTGACAGAAAATATCTTTCCTTCCCCAGCTACATCTGCTGCAGAAAGGACATCTAGCTCTTGCCTCGGGGTATATGAGCCCAAAGCAAGTTTTTTGGCTTCAGTCTCTCACAGCCTGAGGGATGCTGGTTTCAGCTGACACTTTCATACATACTTAACATGTTATTTTAGATGGCATTCTTTTAGTGCACTCACTTGGATTTAAGACATGCTCCTTTTATGGATATGTCACTTGAAGTGTTTTAAAGGTTTTAGTACAGTAAAGACAGAGGGCTGCTGTCTGAATTTTTTTAAACATAAATTTAGCATTGGTCTGAATCTGACAACATAAATCTATCTCATAGATCTGTAATGTGAGCAACTTTGACAGGACATGGTTTCTGTAGGTATCCTGAAATGAAAGGCTAATGTTCACCTGGATAAGATAGAAGGGTTTTCGCAGGACCTTAAAGGTATAGAGGACGATCTTTTATTTTCGGTGGATCATCATTGATTATCTGTCCAAACAGTCAGTTAACTGAGTTTGCTACAAAGTCCACTATATAGTCCCCTCTGTATGTGGATGTAGTAAGCTTGTATGAGCTATGAGAACAGTACGTTTTAAGCAGGGCGTGCACAAGGAGAAATGGGCTGGTGCATGCTGTTGCGTGTGCATTTTTGTTTTTTTAAAGTGGAGGAGTGTCTTTTAAAAAATTCTCCACAATACCTTTAAAGATATCATGGTACTAGTTAGCTACTATAGTATAGCATCAGTTACAAGTGGAAAAAAACTAACTCAACTTTTCAAACATTAGGAGTATCTTTTATTGTAGCATAATCTTACGAAGAAAAGCTTAAAAAAATAGAAATAGCTTACAATATTATAACAACTATCTTAACATGTTACAAATTTTTAAACATCACTGATGGCAAAAGTAGTAGGGGATGTACTATAGTAGGGTTGTTTTTTTGTTTACTTTTTTGAAATGACAATGACCTGGACGACTGAAAATCTTCACCAGTATAGTGGGGGATGTTGAAACATTGTTTTATTTCATAACAAGGTGGAATTCACTTAAAATTGTTCACTTTACACAATGCTATTGACAAAGGTTGTATAAAGAAACAAGAGAAATGGTCAAAGATACTTTTTTTTTTGCTCTCCCAAAGACGTGGCCAAAAACATTATTACTGAAAGGGCCTTTTTATGAAGAATCATTTGAATATTTTAAATAACATGTTAGGAAAATCAAAGATTTAGTGAAGGTAGTCACCTTGTTTCTTTTTTTCATCAATCAAAACAAGTGTAGTCCAACCACATGTTTTCCATGCCCATAGACCTGCAGCCAGTGTAGAACATAGATTGAAACTAAACCACCTTGCTCTGGGAAGTTTCTTCATATAGCCCTCATGGTCTGTTTAAACATTAATACTCCTCAGTTTGGAAAGCAAATGCGGTTCGGCAAATTGCTGAAATATTTAAAATCTGGTCTGTTAAAGCTTTTACCATGCAGCTTACTTTCTTCTGAAGCGTTATGCAGTAAGGGGGCGTAATTGCATCTCCTTGCTCATGCCAGTCATCTTGGTTTTGTTGCTGCCGTCTCCTTCCGCGTGGTTGCTGCTGCTGATGTCACTCTGCTTGATGACAGGGCAGTTTTGTTGACATGTCTGCAGATGGCCTTTGACAGCAATGAATGCAGAGCAGGGATAACTAGAAAATGCAATCTATTTCAAGTACAACTGATGTATTTTATTTTCATTTTTTATTTGAAATAACTGTGGCCTTAAATCTAAACCCTCTCATGGTATTAATCTCTTGATGTTTTGGTCCCTCTAACCTTCTGCTTCAATTAGACACGACCCGCTCCTTATCCCAGGCAATGAGCAGGGCGAGACCATGGATGAGAACATAAAAAAATACGACTCCACGGGGATGTTTCACTGGTGCCCATCTAAAGACATTGAGAAGGTTATCCTGGTGGGTCCTGCAACTTCCTTTAAAACACATCTTTTGTCCTGAATTCTACCCTATGAAAGATTGGTGTTATAAAGCACCATCAAAGTTTGACTAGTCACTTAAATTGTCTGTAACGGGCTTTTCGACATGTTATTTGCTACAGTATACACAGGTCCTGTAAAGTTCCTGCACTAATACATGTGGAGAAGTTTTTGTAAAAAGAACAAACATCCAGCATTAATGAGAAATATGTGTCATGACTGTGTCACGTATAACATTTTCCCAACTCTTTTTGTTCCCTTTAAGACTCGCAGCGAAGCAGCTATGACTGTTCTGAGCGGACATGTGGTTGTGTGCATCTTTGGGGATGTAAAATCGGCACTGATTGGTCTCCGAAACTTTGTGATGCCCCTGAGAGCAAGCAACTTCCACTACCACGAGTTGAAGCACATCGTGTTTGTGGGATCCCTTGAATATCTGAAACGGGAGTGGGAAACACTACACAACTTCCCAAAAGTGTCCATCCTGCCGGTAAATATTGTCAAAATTCTGCGTTTGCTTGGTCATTTACAATATAAAGATGTATTTTGTTCTTATTAACATGCTTGCTGTAATACTTCACAAATATTTAGGCCAGAAAATCATTGGAGATTCTTTCAAATACTGAAATTTTTCCTTGAAATAAGTTTTTAATAAAATGATGGTGCTTGAAGAGAATTAAAAGTGCATAAAACTTCCTTTTTCAATATAAAGATATATTACATCCTGTTTAAAAGCAAATTTTAGACATATGGATGACATTTTGTCGTTTTGCAATATTCACCTTTATTCAGAGGACAGCAAGAATAAGTTTAATATATGTTAGAAACCATTAATTCTACTTGGTGTCTATCACTCATCTGGGAATGAGTTGCAGGGAAGCAGTCTCAGCAGAGACTCCCAGACCTTCCTCTCCCCAAACACCACCTCTAGCAGGCATCGGGCCGTTGCCTTAGTTTCTGACAGGTCAAATGTGCCTGGAATACCTCCCGAGGGAGGCGTCTACAGTATGAGTATACTCCTTTTAATGGGGAGGAGAAATAGCTCTACTATGAGCCTTACTCAGATGACCAAACTCCTCACCCTATTTCTAAGGGACTGCCGGGCAACCCTGCGAAGAAAGTTAATTTTGGCCACCTGTATCCTGTATCTCATTCTTTTGATCATGAATCCAAATTCAATGACCACAGGTGAGGATTGGAACACAGACAGACCGGTAAATTCTCTTCATTACAACAAACTCGTGCAGCATCTGCATTGTAGTGAGAGTTGCCCCAATCTCTGGTCCATTCTCTCCTTACTCGTAAACAGGACCCCAAAATACTTGAACTTCGCCACTTGAGACATGAACCTTCCTAAAGAAGGCATGCCTTCTTTTTCCTGTCGAGAACCATAGCGGAATGTACAACCTTGGCTTCAGCAGGAGCGGTGTGGTTTTTGCTGTGGTTTAATGGGAGTTTGCCTAACATGCTTTGTGGACCTGTAGGAGGCAGTCAGCAATCTCCTCTTGAAGCCGTGGTTCTACAATCAGCTAAACTCTGTTTCTCCGTAAGGTTAAAGTGTGATCCCTCTTTAGTTGGACCACACCAACCAGTCTCCCTTCTTACTGCATGGAGGGGACCCACCACCTAACCCAAACCCTTAACTTTGTTTTTTAACACCCTTCCCAAAAGGATTCACAGACCTTTTTAGAAGGAAAAGTTATTTAAGATGGATGGATGAAATTCCAAAAGTATGGCTTGGTTCACAAACACTTTTTTGACAGGAAAATGTGGGGGTAGCATTGTGAGTGGAGTTTGCATTTCTTTAAAAAGATTTTTTTTCAGGGTAATGATATAAAAAGTTCTAAATGACAGACAGTTTTGACCCAAATCCTTGCACTGCCTACTGGGATATGTCCTACCAAACGAATCATAGTTAGAGGAGTGCTAATGGTCTTATTTTTAAAAACATTAACCTTATTTAAAAAGATTCTTATAAAATCATTACTGCTAAGAACAGGTGGGATGGTTCAACAGAGCTATGGCTGTGGGTGAGGTTGACAACTATTAAAAAGATAGCTAGGATTATTCTTATTCTTCTCTAATAATGAGGAGAAATATACTGCCCTTGCTTTGTAAAGAGTCCTCTTATACAGCGGTAAACTATTTTTTCTCTCCAGTTTCCTAGCATTTTGCTTCAGAGTGCACAGCTCTGCATTAAACCAAGGAGCCAGCTTTCAATTTTTTAAGTTTTTCTTTTTCAAAAGAGTTGAGTTTTCTTAGGCAGTATGCAGAGAACTAGCAACCCCATCAACAAAATCATCAACCTCTGAAAGTATTTTTCATTTTATTATATATTTTTATTACCGTATATATTTATTTTAGCATATGTCAAATTTTCAAACTCTAAGTGAATTTTCTTATTAGTTATTTGCAATAATGCTGTTATTAGTTATTAGGCAAATTAATTATGAAATTTCAAGCATTTACAGTTGTTTATTTATTCATTTGAAATTGTATATTAGAGCTATCTGGTGTATATGTTCATATTTAAAATGAAACAGACAAACAGGTAACATATTACTATTTCATTGTATAGAACAAAAGGTTATCTTAATATGAGTCAGATATTAGGCATCTAAATTTGTCATTTCCCAGTTGACAAGGATGAATATTCAGGATAGGATAATGAAAATATATAAATATCAACACAGTCTAAATTGGCTCACCATACTACCACCTTATAACATTATTGGAAGATATTTTTTGAGAAAAGTCTAATTTGAGAATTCTATCTGTCATATCACATTATTTAAGTAACAAATATTAATCTCTCCTTCTTAAAGGGCACACCATTGAGCAGGGCTGATCTGAGGGCTGTCAACATCAACCTCTGCGACATGTGTGTCATCCTGTCAGCCAATCAGAACAATATTGACGATGCATCACTGCAGGACAAAGAGTGCATCCTGGCGTCACTTAACATCAAATCCATGCTGTTTGATGACAGCATCGGGGTCCTGCAGGCCAATTCTCAAGGTAAGGAGTGCCCTATCATAGTTCAGTGTCTCGCCTGGGAGGGACAGGGCCCCGGCACAGAAAATATTTGCTCACTGCACGCTGCATGGCTGACCTGTTGTCGCTGCGTTTGACAGTAAACCTTACTGACTCTTCCTCAGGTTACTGTAACAACCGGTTACCTCACAAACCTCAGTGGTGGCAACATGCACATCACTGCCACAGAAACCTTTGCCTGACATTTACAGTTTTATTTTTCAGTTACTAGGGCTGCTTTATACACAATATATATTTAACACATTAATATTACATCTTAGGGGTTTCTAAAGAAAAAAAAGACCCCCAGAGCATTTGCGTAGTATCCCCCATAATGTAGGCATTGTTTAGCTTTAGGAAAAATGCTTTTAGAAACCTTTTGACCTTAATAGAAAAAAATAAACCTGACAATTTCCTTATCCGTCTACTGCATGTATAACCTCACATTTGCCTTAGTCAGCAGTAAGTGATGGATGTCAAAATATCGGCCATGTATTATACATATAACATCACTGATTTAATGTGCTTACTTGTCAGTCTGAGGAAACCATGAAATGTCAAGTCAATCTGAATTCAATCTTGCATCATTTGTTTTCTATTTCATGGCTCCTCAATGTACATGTTTTATTCTGGCTCTGCGGGCACACAGTCTAAGGGGAACAAAATGAACTATACCACATATATTATATATGGACTAATATTGGTCCCTTACATGAATACAGCTACACTGCACTTAGTTTACAGGATTTATACTGTGCTGTTTGATTTTGTGATAATTTGTCATATTACTGCCACAAACTTCATTTAATTTATTAGGATATTATAGGATAGCCCATTACAAAGTTGCACATGAATGTAAAGTGAAAGGAAATGATACATGGTTTTATGTATTTTTCGTTCAGAGCGCATATCATATTAGCCAGTTTTACTTTAATAAATAACTTCATGTGTTAGTAATGAGTACAGCAGCTTATATTAGTGAAAAGATAGAAGATGCTGGTGAACAAACAGCATCACAAAGATAGGCTGTTGAGAAAAACTTAAACCATGTTGAATCTGTAAAGCAATTAACCAGGTTTTACTCGGGATATAGGCGTTATAGTTTGGTGATAGGTTTATGGAAGAGTAGGCTCGAAGGATAAAAGTAGGAAGATAATTAAAAGTAGTTTTAAATTATTGCTTTGATTGCAAAAAAAAAAAATTTAAATACTTTATTGGTTCATATTGTCCGTCATGTATTTAAAAAAGCAAAGTCTAAACCAAAAATAGATGACAGCCTTTCAATAGGGATGAAATGTTTAATCAGATTAATCATGATTATTCCATTATTGCCAATATTGTCTGATTAAACTGGTTGAGTAAATGCTAACTGGATTATAGACTCTAAAACCTGCATTTTTCTGAGGGAAACAAACATTCAGAGCACAAATAAAGCCAAGTCTGCATACAAGGTTGATTAAAGTTGCATAAGATTTGCATTTCAACAGATTTCATTACTTAGATTGAGCCTGTTTTACTTTACACTGATCTTTAACTACCAATGCACTGAAAAGTGTTGCTGTGATAAAATGCATTCTCTTGTCATGCTACAATATTACTTTCAAGGCAGGGAATTGGTTATAAAAACAAAAAACATTGTAGTATTTCTACTGATACTACCTCATTGTATACACTGATGTATATTAGCGCCAAATGCTCCATTAATAGATCTGTTTCCTGTTCTTTGTGTTGTTATTAAGGCTTCACGCCTCCTGGGATGGACCGATCCTCTCCTGAGAACAGCCCGGTCCACGGATTAGTGCGGCAGACCTCCGTTACAACTGGAGGAAATATTCCTATCATAACAGAGCTTGGTATGATTGCTGCTGAATTTTTAATGAATGGCATGGTAGCTCTATAACCACATGTTTCTGTACAGTACTACTGAAAAATAAATAACCAATGTTTGCTAACTGGTTAATGATTGGTTAACAGTCCTTAAAATGTGTTTGTGTTTGACTTGTGCCAGTAACTGTTTTTCCCTCAACACCTGTCCAGCACCATTAGCAAAGCAAGGCAAAAAAGTGCCTGTGATTTCATTCAGTCAGGATAAAAGCAGTGGGACCAGCATACAAATGATAACTGAGCTGGGTAAGAAGCGCCTCCGTCCTGTACTGCAGTGTTGCAACTGCTGCTGCCTCCATATCAGCTTTTTTCTTTTGATTTCTCTTTGCTGCACAAGAAGCCCAGTCCATTTCCATGGCATCACTTTGAGCAGAGTTTTGGTTCTGGTTGAAATTGCCTGTCTTGTTTTGCTCCCTGACCCCCCCATCTCTAAGTGAAATAGCTCCCTTTTATTTTTTTCCAAGGATTACAGGGTCTTTGATCCCTTTAGAAGTCCTTGTGGCTGTTTTTGTTGCATCTTCTTCGGGATCACATTCTCTGGCCCGTGCCGTTCTTTCATCCCAGCTCTGTCCATAAGACTCGCATTTTTTTCTGTCCTCACAGAGGGAGCAGTTTTCCGACTAAATTTTTACATCATTACTTTCATCCAGCCACTGCATGTGTTCTTTTGTGCTCAAGGACGTCTTTAAAGAAGGTTCTGGGGCAACCGCTTACTTTTATTTGACCTGACATGCGAGTAGGAGTAATTGGAAGTTCTGTCTTGGATTTACAAGACAAACAATGGCATATTGGTTTTACTGATACTGACCTAAAGGAGGGCTTTGAATTTTGGCCTCAAACTTTGAGAATATGCATGCTGTGGTATGGCTGTGTATAAATATCAAACACAGACTTATTCAAGTTAAATTTTTTAATAAATTTAGAAAAAAACATTTAATTGAAACATAAGAATATTCCTAATACATATCTGCAACTACTGCCTGTTTTGCACAATCACTCTGCTTTTTGCCTTCCCTTTAATGCAACTCAAGGACATGCTTGACCCACGTCTTTTTAAGCCTAAAACCTTTATATAAGATCTCTGTTTATTGTAAGGCAAGCAATCAAACAGAATATGAATAATTCGTCATTTTCTTTTCCACCCTCCTAACAGTTAATGACTCAAACGTTCAGTTTCTGGACCAAGACGATGACGACGATCCAGACACAGAGTTATACCTCACTCAGCCTTTTGCATGTGGGACAGCATTTGCAGTCAGTGTGCTTGACTCCTTAATGAGTGCGGTAAGTCACAAAAAAAAAAGAAAAAACAAAACTGTTTAAAGGCGATAAAAGTGACTATATGATACAGATTAGTAGCAAAACTGCAGTAAAGAATTTACAAAAAGGTAATTTGAACAGGGAACTTGAATTTTAAAACTGGAAAATGGCAGCAATTTGTAATTTCTAAGTATTTCATTGTTAAAACAAATGTCATTTTTTCAAATCAAAGTGAAATTCAACCTAATTTTGACAGTAGAAAACACAATAATGTCGTTCTCACTAAAGCTCCCTGTTTCTCTGTCTGTGTAACCTGTTGTCATTCTGGTTTAAATGACAGCCAAATGGTACAGATTTGAGCCAGTGCAAGATTTAGAGCAGGGGTCTCCAAACTATGGGGCAGGGGCCATTTTTGGCCCCGCCATTGATTGTATGTGATTGCATGCAATGAGCAAATTTGACACTTCTTTTACTTCCAACATAATATGCGATATACAAATATGCAATGTTTAAAAAAAAAACAAAGGTTTTTTTCTCGTTTCTTGTTTTTCTTTTTATGTTTTGGATCTACATGGAGTTACATGTATGGATACCTATTCCTGGAAAATTACTATTTATTGTACTGCATAAGTTTTGCATGAATGGATGGAGTAATTAAAAGTTTCCTGAGCAGATCAAGAAAGTTAACGCCTTTTCAAACTTTTGTAAAAAAAAAAAAAAAGAAATTATAATTATTATAATTGTGGCTCGTGTTTCAAATAGTTTTAACACTGGTTAAGGGCATACTCTCTGGTCTATAAAGCAGGTGTACAACTTAAATTTACTCAGTGTATAGAAATAACAAAGAGAATGTTTTAGCAGCCAAATTATCAGGTAGTCATATATTAGCCCAGCATCTTGCTAAACTCTACCTGTATAAAGGTTCTTTCCAAAACATGTTGTGCCATTATTCAGAAACCTTTATAATTATTTGCTTTCTCAGCAAATTTGGATAATTTTTACCTCCCAACAGGATGTTATGTTCTTAGGAGATTTTTCCTGTCATTGTAACTTTAATTTGTGGACAAATTCTAATGCGATTTTTATCAGATGTGTCCCTCACGCCAAGGGACAATCCGTCAAATTTTGGTGATGATCAAAGTCAAAATCTGTATAAAGGAATCTTTAAAATATTCTCTAAAATTGTGAGATAGGGATATTTGGCTGGACTTGCAGTTCCCCACTAAACCAGAGGGTGGCAGCAGTGAGATTTGACAGCCTCAGCATTGGACTCAAAAAAGTCCAGAGGTATTTTACCAAAGACAAAAACAAAACAAAAGGGAACGTTCTTGTTTGTTAGCAGTATCAAACTTATGAACAAATTTTATGGAGCAGTTTTTTTTATTTACCAGAGTTGTGCCTCATGCCAAGGAACAATTCATAAAAATTAATTTGCATGTGATCCAGATCATGTGCGAGTTTTAGCTCTAAGTGTAAATCTCAATTTGGAGCAAAAATTGCTTCTTGGTGGATACTCCTCTTTAAAGGAATTAAACTTCATATCTTCATTTGCTTTAAACCGATAATTGTCATATTTAACTGATAATAACTGCAATGTTAAATTTATTGAATATGAAACAGATGGATTCAACCATTTCTGTATTTTGCAACATTAACAATTTCAGAGAGAAAAGGCTTCTTTCCCCACATATTTGATCTATTTTACATCTGACTTTAACCACACACAATATGATGACATTAAAGGAACAAATGAATAAAAAATATCCAAATATTTGTTCTTCATGCTTTAGGATGTGGCGATGGAAAAATACATTTAAAATCTATTCCTCCAATTTATTTGTGTTTTTTTTTTTCTTTACTTCACAAAGGTAGTGTGCTAGCAGATCTACAAAGGTAGGCAAGTGGTTAGTAGCTTTTCTAACTGACTCTTAGAAGCTGTTTTCCAGTGTGAGGTTTTTTTGGGAAAAGGCAAGACTCCCTCAGGTTTAAGATTATTCAAAATGCATTTATGAGAATTTTTTGGAACATTGAAAATATGTATGCTAAACACCTCAAATTCTCCCCTTGGGTTTTAAGTACTTTGTCAAATCCTTTGTTTTTCCAGACGAGACAGAGGATTTATAATGTAGCTGTTCTTCATTACAAGGATTCATAAATGCTGCTTGAATGAAAACTACCAACCTTTTTTTTGTTTTTGTTTTTTCTCCTTTAACAATGTTAAAATAATACGTAAGTCAATATTTAGTAAAAGTCTTAAAATGTAAGCTGTTTATGGTGATACAGCAACAATCATGGGCATAAAATGCAATTTCTTTACTAATAAAAGGGGTTTCCTGATGACTTATTCTTCCTGACCTTTGACCTCATCTAGAAACCATTGGACTTTAGAACATGGGATTTAAAACCCACAGGTTATGATGTGATTTGAAAAGGCACATCTGATTTCTTATTAGAAGAGATAGTGGGGTTCCTCCATTTTACCTAAAGATAAAAGTATCCCAGTTAAAACGATAAATGAGAAGGTTGGAACTTCCACTGAGTTTGATGGCTTCATTTGTCTGCCTTTCATTTTGAGTGGGGTTAGGACAAAGCTGCCTTCAAGTGTGCTCCAGTGTAGACAAAGGTAATGCAACCTAATGGACAGCCCTCATCCATCATCTTAGTCAATAGTGCTGTCAGGAGCCGAGGGAGTTGTCACTTCGTAGTAGAAGCGTGGGGAGATGAGGGACTGCACTGCGGAGAAAAGGGCAGACATTTCCCCTTGTTAAAATCAACTAACCAATAACTAGAATTTACTGGAAGGGGAACAACTGCAATACCTGGAATAAAGAAAGGGATGTTTTCTAAGTGATTATCTTAGACTTTCCCAAAGACAAGATGTAGACAATCTTGACAAGGTTCAGTTGTGAATTCACCCCATCTTCTTTCTTTATCCCTGCAGACATACTTCAATGATAATATCCTCACCTTGATCCGGACGTTGGTAACAGGTGGTGCCACTCCAGAGCTTGAGGGTTTGCTGGCTGAGGAGAATGCATTACGTGGTGGCTACAGCACTCCACAGACCCTGGCAAACAGGGACAGGTGTCGTGTGGCACAGCTGGCCCTATATGATGGGCCCTTTGCTGACCTCGGGGTAAGTGAACGGTCCTGTCACTCTGGGGTGAAGGCCATCTTTATCTGCTTATATTACACATCCAGCCTTCAGTGGAAGGCTTAGAGGGTCAGTTGTGACATGGTGCCCCCAACACTGAAGAGTAACCCAGGTACAGATTTGATATTTATGCTGCTACATTACATGGTTGCAACACTTCAAATGTCATTAATTGTTCGGGATCCTAATCTTTAACAGGATTTTGTACATTAAGGCTGAGTTTTGCAAGGACACGTTGATTTTGTGTCTTTTGAACCAGTATTGTGTTGATTTTGTCATATTTTTGGTCTTATTATCATGCTGAAAAATGCTCTAATAACTCATTTTTGGTCTTTGGGTAGAAATTTAATTAAATGCACTGATACAAGGTTACAAGGTTGGAAGAAAAAACATGTGTGCTGCAGCACAAATCCCATAGCCTTGAAAACAAGATACTTTCTACTCTCTTTTTCAGGTTTTAACTTAAGTGATTTATTTAATGGTAAATAGCTTAATTAGCCTCCAGGGGCGGAGCTAAGGGGTGGCCAATCTGTGGCCACTCACCAGGTGATTTCTTGTTCTCATGATGACATAATTCATCAAATCCAGAACAAGCAGTTCCCTATAATACAGAGTGGCAGCAGTGAGACTCTCAAGTGGAATTTCCTAATTTCTGTTTACATGTTACTAATTCAAAATTCTCATTGTTCGTATATCAATCCTAAACTGACAACAAAAATATTATAGTTAATTATTCACATCAGTATAGCAACAATAACAATATGGTGACAAATACAAAATTTGTGGGGGGTTTTTCAGAAATAATTTTTGTGTATTTTGGGGAAGAACAGAAGATCATGTATTTCAACCAGTTATCTAGGATTCTTCTGTCCTATTAAAGAACAGCTAATCAATCAACTGAATATTATGTATATTATGCAGAACTATAAATGATCAGTTTAGAGAACATAAATTAAATAATATGTCATTTGATATGTTAGCAAGTGCAGCTATCTTCAGTGATTTCTTTGGAAAATACTGAAGTAGTATAGACTGATCCTGAACTGGTTTCTGTTTGGGCACCTTAACAATTTTTTTCTTAATCCACCACTACCAGTCTGATCTGACCAGAACAGACATTTGCATTGGAGGTCACAGTAGACTTTGCTCTGGCACACCCCTATTTTGATACAGCAGGTTGGCACGTCACTAGTGTCTAACTGTTGCCTGGAACAGCATTGCACAGGCAATGGTGCTGATTCTTTTATGGTGCAGCAATCCCTCATACAGAGCATGGTATGAGTTTCTTTCTATTACAGTATGCTCAACAGAAACTTTGATCCAGAGTTTTAGCAAAAAAAAAAAAAATAATTTGGTACTTGTTCATAAACTGTTTCCTTTATATAACTCTTCAAGCAGACGGTTAGCGCTGCTCTGCTTTCAAGATATTTGCAGGTGAATTCATAAAAACTTCAAAACAAACTTAAAAATTTAACAAAATTACATTTTAATGCATAAAAGGACAGGAGGGTATTTTTCTCTTTGCTTAAATCTTTTGTTTCTTTATGTTATCGTTGTCTTGCAGGATGGCGGCTGTTATGGGGACCTGTTCTGTAAAGCCTTGAAAACGTACAATATGTTATGCTTTGGGATCTATCGCTTACGAGATGCACATCTAAACACACAAAATCAGTGTACCAAACGGTGAGTAGCCACCAAAGCTTTAATGACCTTTCAGATTAAGAAGAGAGAAACAATTTGTTTTCATAATTTTAACTGAACTCTTGCAGAAACATTAAATATTTTAGATACATTTTTCACTTTTTTATTACAAGAAACTCCACTACATTTTATTGGGATTTTATGTTTCTCTGCCCAAAGGAGAAAAAAGACGTGGATGTAAAATAATAAAAGATGATAAAGGTTTTATACAAATATATAATCTTGGAAATGTGGAATAAATGTATATTTAGACTACCGGTAAGTATCTCTGTAGAACACATTTTGCTTCAGATCTTTTTGGGTAAATCTTTACCAGAAACTGTATTTTTTTTTTCTTTAAATATCTTGTTTTTTTAGTAGATCAAGCTTACTAATTTCTTTAAAGGCTTCTTTTTGCTTTTACTTGAGTAAACATTTGATGAAGCACTTGTGAACAGCAGTTTTCAAGTTTTGCCTCAGATACTTAACAAAAAAAAAATTGGACCAGACTAATACAGGAATATCCTCTGATCTGAAACATTTGGGTAAATGTTGTTTTATAAACACCCTGCTGGAAGATGAACTGTTTCAGTCTTAATCTTTTGAGGCCTCTTAAAGGTTGTCATTCAGTAGCGCCCATACAGTATATAGCTCCATCCATGTTACACTGAACTTTTAACTAAAGTAGCTAATTATGTTGCTGGTAAATAAAAGCAATCCCAAAACTTGATGCTACCTCTATCATATTTTATAATGGTCTATATGGGTTTGTTATGAGATATAGAGGTATTAACATTCTTGGTTTTTATTCAATAATGGCTTTCATTTACAGAGGGGCCATGTTTTGTAAGTGAATAAGATGTCCCTTTAAGAGCTGCAGAAGCTGTTAGAGATTATAGACATTATGTTGAAGGGAATCAGAGTCCAAGGGGTTTATTATAAATACATTACAAAGCTACTCCTTTCAGATTTTTATTTGTAAGAAATAAAAAAAAAAAAAATCTATTTTTTCTTTCAGTTCACAACGGTGTGTACATTGGTGTTGGATAAAACCCAATAGAAATACACAGAAATTTGTGGTTGTAACACACCTCACATCTGTCCTCACATCTGGTCAATTTCTTCTCCAGGTACGTCATCACCAATCCTCCGTACGCATTTGAGCTTGTGCCCTCGGACCTCATATTCTGCCTGATGCAGTTTGACCATAATGCCGGCCAATCACGGACCAGTCTCTCCCACTCTTCCCACTCCTCGCACTCTTCGAGCAAAAAGAGCTCCTCCGTCCACTCGATTCAAACCACCAACCGCGCCAACAGAGTCAAAAGCAGGGACTCACGAGACAAACAAAAGTATGTTCCCCTCTAAAGCCGTCCGCCTGTCCATGTCTGTGATCAGTGCCTGCAGTCAGTGTTGTCCTGTGTGTCCTCCGTCAAGCCTCAGAAAGACAGGAAATTACATCCGGTTTGTATGTCCGTTTGAATGTGTATGTATGCATCTCTTGTATGAAGTACTTTTGTGTGTTTGTAATTTTCTTATGAATTGAAGTGGCTTGTTACACGGTCAAAGTTAGAAACAAGCTGTATTTCTTGATTTCTTCATGCACTACGAGATTTTCATTGGATTTTTTTCCCCATCAGATTTTTTCTGATCCATTTACACTCATTTGTGTGTAAATTGATTGTATTCATTCTTTATGTCACATGCTTTCTGCTTTTCAAAATAATAATTTTTCAATTACATTTTATCTAAATTTTTTTTGCAAAAGAAATAATGTCTTTGTGAAATGGCATAGAGTATGTAGTGATCCTATCTGCCTATAAAGGCAGCTGCTGTAAAGCTTATTTTTTTCAGTTTGAGACGATGTCATTTTTTCTAATTTGGTCAAATTTAGGCATGTTGTCAGCAGAGCATTTTGTCTAATAAATGTTATTTTTCTCATTTTCCATTATGCAGACATTGAACCTGCAGTTTCTGCATCTTAAGCCACTTAGCTTTTGTGCAGCTTTTAAGAGTTAAATTTTCAATCACAACCTTTTCTCGTTTCTTATATCTATCACGTCTTATCGTAAACAAAAACATACTTTTGTTTTACTTCTATTTTAAAAGGAACTTCATTGTACTTGAATTGCACTTTAAAATGACATGTCTTAAAAATCTATATATTGTCTAAAAATATTGTATAGCTTTTTTCCCCATAATACCTCCTTATTTCCATGAAATTGTCAAATCTTCATGAAATCAAACCTGAAACTCTGAAATATTAATTGTGTCAACTACTTTAAAGTAGAATTTGTTGTTAATAAAGCTATGTCAAGATTTTAGTGTTTATTTTTTATGTTTTTTTTTTTTTTCAAAGTTGTAAATGCACTGACTTCACTTACAAAGGCAAGTACCAGAAGTAAAAAAGATTTATTGGGCTTTTCACTTCTTGCCCAAAATAAAGGAAGGTCTGGAGTCAATGAATTTAAAAAGAGACAAGATATCCGCAGTGATTTATTCTATCATTGCACTTCTAAGACATCCACAACTTAGCTCATAAAATCTTCTTTAACCTGAAAACTCGACTCCTGGGTGTTGCAATAGTTTGTCAAATTGCAGCCTCAAACTAAGATCTGTTTTGCTGGGACTTTATGAGATAAGCCAAAATTACAACTAAAAGTGTGGTATAAATTTATATCAGAGGTAGGTTGTTAATAGTTACATTTACTTTAGTAACCTTTTCACATTTTTTCTAGTATCGTTTGCTGCTATAATCGTTTTGCTGGCAGCTGCTCACCTCCGGGCTCACATCTCAGGAAGTGTCCCCGATTAACAGTTAAAAATGCACTTTATACATCTCCAGTCTGCCACATCATCATATTTTACATCATACACGTTAGCAGTTGAGTAGACATCCATGGCTCCAGCCTTATCAAAATATAACACTTTGTTCTTAGCTGAAGAACACCGCTCTCATTCCATTTCCAAATCTTTGCTACGTGCAGAATGAAGACTATAACTTTATATCCAAACAGAAGAACTGTCTTAATTAGATTAACTATTGTGGAAACATCAGTTCTTACACACAACAGGCACACATCATCAATGATAATTATCATAACACTGTAAACACCAGAATTTTCCCATTGTGGGACAATAAAGGGGTTTTCTATTCTATTATATTGAAAACAAAAATGCTTTTAGGAGTAGTTTTACAGAGTTGTACTTTTTACTTTTACTTGAGTAAAAATATGATAAAGTATCATTACTCTTTGTAGTATAAAATTCCTGGCTACTCCATCCATTGTATTTGCTTGTTCTAGACAAATATTCACTACTCAAAGTTTACTGGTTTAATTATTTTCCATCTGCTGATCCTGCTGTTAAAATACAGTAAAAACAATACTGTCATTTAACATATTCTTACATACTGTAACTATTTATTTAGTAACTTTTATCATTTAAAAAATGTGTTTGAAAGTGTTCATCCCACCTAAATGTTGTATTGTGTAATCACTGTATGTTATATGTTATATCTTATTCGTTGAAACAGCGGGATTTGCATATTATTTAATATTTTGTTTAATTTTACATCATAAGTACACACTCAAACAGACTGCCACACTTAACCCCAGACTGCTCCCCAGGTGCCGCACAGTGGCAGCCCACTGCTCCCCAAGGGCAGCAGAGGGCTGCAAAGGGCTGCAGAGATTTATTTTCCCCTTTTCGGGACAATTAAAAAGTATTTACATTACAAGTCAGTAGATGAGTTTATCAGAACTTGAGTAGCATTTTTACCAAATACTTTTTTACTCTTACTTGAGTAATTACTTGAGTAAACATATGATGAAGTAGTGCTGCTCCTATTAAAGTACAATTTTTGAGTACTCTAGTTAGCGGTTTGCTAGCAGTACCTGCACATCACACATGAAGGACACCAAGGGTGGGAGGTGCGGGTTCACTCTGAGGCATTAAAACTAATCAGGCTCTTGAAACATAATATTTAACATAATAATTACACATTTAGAATAAAAATGTGAAAGGATTTTAATTAAAACTATATAAAGGAAAGAATAAAGGATGCTAAAGTTTTCTTGTTTTTTGAGGTATGTCTACCTCAGAGGGAAAGAAACACAAAAAATAAAAATAAAATGCTTTAAACAAAGGAAAAAAGCATATTTCATAACACACAACAGAATAAAAAACATAAAATGATAAATGCAGAAGCAACAAAGTCATGAGCAGCAGTGTTATCTGTTTTTTCAATATATAAAGGTTCAAGAGAATTTTGAGAATGTGTCGTTTTGGTCAGAGATGAGTATTAACTAGGTAAATTTACTTGAGTAACTTTTAGAAAAAAGAGAACTAATAGAAGTTTTAACTTTTACTTACCGTAACTTATATTTTTGTGAGAGTATTGCTACTCTTACACTAGTAATTTCTTTGATCCCTAACAATGAAAATGTGCTGTTTGGAGATCAGGACAAAAATAAAGCAAAATGTGGATATTGTCAATGGAAGTTCTTCATTTTCTTACAATGCAGTACCCATTGTAAAAAAATTCCTTATTAATTTTGTGATCTTTTTTATATTTGTATTTTATATTTTCTCTTATACTCTGAAGTACCAGAATTTGATTTATCTTCCTGAGTAGCTCCTTATTTTAGTCAAGCGAGAAGGTGTTAGTTTAAAAACAAATCTGTGTTTTTTGGTCATCTTCCTCTCTGTTGGTAATGATGAGTGCAATGTAGACAGCAATACTGGTTTTCGAGCTGTCTCTATTTGAGCTTTGCCTTTGTTCTTCCTACACATCCAAACCTACAACCTTTTATCTCATGTTATAGTTTGGAACTTAAAAATCATCTATTCTTTTCAATTTCTCCTTTTAGAAGAATACTGATAAATCTTTCTTTTATCTTACTTCATCTACTAAGTACTGTAGATGTGGAGTAATATCTATATTATCTAAGTGCTACATTGGGTTTCATTCCAGCTTTTTTAGCTGGATGCTTGATAAAAGTAAACCTTAATCTTCTAACATGAACATTTTGCTTTTTGTTGCAAAAATTATAAAATTCTTTATATCAATGTCATACAATATATTATATTTACATATAGTCTATTACTTTCTTTTCCTGAAGTGCAACAAGGATCAATAGAGCTGGCCAAGGTATGGAGATAAATGATTCTGCATGATGTTCAATAATTCACTGAGCACAATCGTGTTACTGTTGACATTTTGCCCACTAAATCTGCATTAGGAGTGCATGGTTACTATGACACATGCAGCACATCTCACATTTATTGTGGAGTTTGTGATTGCAAGTAAATGGTTTAATCCTGATTCCCTTTGCATTATTACATGTGATGTTTGATGGTGTATCATTCAAAACATATTTGCGCTTACATGTAAATGAAGTGTACCACTATAACTTTGCTACTAAGTAATAATGAAAACGCATGCCTACCAACCAACCAATCAAACTGGTGTATCTTAATGAATGAAAATATCTTAAAACTCACATTTATTTCAGTAGGGTAGACTGGGGACCGCTGCAACAAAGGATGGGTATTTTTTTCTCCAATTAGAAAACATTAATTAGAAGTATTTAGAATTAATTAGAAGCAATTAGAAGTATTTTTTTTTTCTAATTAGAAACAATATTGATGAAACTGATAATGCAAAGGTCCAGTTGGACCCTCCCCCTAACCACCGGGGGGGAAAAAAAGGTGAAGATAATCTTGTATATTTATTGGAAAAGATGAGTTTTTGAGGTGTGACAGTACATTTTTGTAATGTCGTGTATTTTCTTTGCACTGTCCTGCCTATTTATTTGTATGAATTAATCAAAACTTAGTGACATGTGATTGTTCAGTTTTCGTCAGTTATATGGTTAGCATTTGCTACAATCTGAGTGTCTAACCAGCTTATGCTGTTCTGTCAAAGCTACCTGCTTTGGAACAATTGTGACAATTTCTGTAACCTCCCCAAAGGTCCAGGGAAATGTGGCTGCAGTCCTGGGCGCATACAGATTGCAAAGCTGGAGGAGATAAGCCACAACTGGCTAAATAGGTTTATGACAAATAGAAATTGTTCATAAGTGGTGTTGCAACAATCTTAGAGATGGGGTCATTTGCAACAGTTGACTTTTCTTTTTTAGTTCATAATGGGAAAAGTCTGCTCTATGTTTTCATATATCATATATAGAAAATTAGCAGACAGATGTAAGTTTGATATTTAAATTAATAGTTGGAGTTTGCCCAATCAATCTTTGAGTAGTTGGGGGGGAAAAAACAAACAAGTGTTGCAACCATCCCCAGTCATCCCTAGTTAAAATTGAAAAATTAAAGCTTATGTATTAAATTTTATTAGCCCCATACCTTTACAGGCTAAGAAAAGAAGCCAAAACACCCCCAGTCCAAAGGAGTGGAACCGTTCGTCCGTTTCAATTTGCATGTTTTCTAAACAAAAACAAGGCCTTGTTTGGGCTACTGCATATAGCCTCGAACTCAATGCTATTCCTGACATTTTGAATTGAAAAAGCTGGATGGGAAGCAAAATGGAAAGAAAGTAAAATGGATTTTTTTTTTTTTTTTACTTTTTGTAATGACTATGACCTGGGTGACTAAAAATCTTCACCAGCATCATAAATTGTAAAATGCAATTCCTTAAAAACCTTTGTGTGTAATAAATCTACATTAGTTTTTAAATACTACAATTATTATAGATTTTTCTGTGATATCCCAATTTCTTTAAATGCACCTATATGGCAATCAAAATAAATTCTGTTAAGCTAGTCTCTTCATTTGGAAAAAAATTGAAAAGAAAAAAGATCCTCTACATTGATCCAAAAGCCTGCTGCTCCTCTCTAACACAATATTACTGTAAGTACAGAGTCCTGGGAAAAATAACTCTTTCATAACTGTTTATTTAGTTATCTGAAAGTAATTGAACATCTAGCAGGAATTACTAAAAGTGTAATTTTTGTTGTAATATTTCCAATGGCAAAGCTTTTCTGGTTCTTTTTAAAGCATTTTGCCATTTAATTGAGGATTCTCATTAATTTATAAACAACTCTCTTGAGGTCCTTCTACACTATTCCAGTTGGGTTATTTTACGGTGCTATTGCTGATGCGCTTGGGATCAGCTTAAGGACTTCAATGTGCTTGATTTCAGCAGTCATCTTTAACAGAGCAGCAAACAGCAAATGTCCAACACTTCAAGGTGCAAATGAAGCCCAGCTCATCCCTTGTCCATTACTGTGCTTGACAGTTATATGTGCTTTGAGATTATATAATGTCTTTTTAGTTCAACAAACATGACACTTTAATGCCAGAAATCCAGGCAACCTTACAGTAAGTATAGCCTGCTCTTGCTGTCAATGGCTTTATCATAGAACGACCAACTCTGAATTTTGGGGTCTGATGTTAATTTCTCTGGTCTTCAAATGGGTAAATTCAGACTTTCAGAAATATTTAAAACAGTTTTTGTCTCACGTTATGTGAATAATCCTCCTGTTCACTGTATAATGAGCTTCAAATTGTTCAAACAGTCCTTTATAGATTTATGGTTGCATCTATAGCTTCTCTGTGGGTACTACTAACCTCTCTTCTCATTGGCATTGTGTTAGCTACCTACCCTGCCTGAAAACTGTCAAAACTCCTGCTTTATGCAATCGCTCACACTTGCTGTAATGATCAATGAAGGATTTTGAATTTAAGCTCATTTGGCATATGTTGACGTTAAACTCTATGGAGGAGTAATTAGCACCAAGGTTTTCCCATGACTGTCTCAACAGTCATACAATTGTTATTTGTTATTTGTTATTCTATTTCACAAAAAAAAGGTTTCTTATATCAGATTCCAGCATGGATATCTGAAAACAGATCTGCATCATGCTGAGCAGCGGTAGACGAAGTACTCAACCGTAGTACTTGAGTAAAAGAATTGATACTTATAGTAAAATTTTACTCAACTACAAGTAGAAGTTACTCAGTAAATAATCTATTCAAGGTAAAGTATTTAAGTACTATCTTTTTAAAATACTTAAGTATTCAAAAGTAAAAATCAAATTTTTTAATATCAGTACATTTCTGTCTAATTTTAAAGAACCGTGTAACTTTAGGAAACCACCTGATGTTCAAATTCTACACCACCTGTAAAGAACTTCAGCATTAAATTGGCACAAAAATATTAATTTATTAAAAACAAACCAAAAAAACAAAAATAAAAAACATTAGTGTCTTGATTCTCCTTGTATGTTTGCTATGGAAGAAAGGTTTAAGGTTGAATCTATCAACACAAAGAAACTGAAACTCTGATTTGAGAACTCATCCTACTCAATAACTTGGCCACATGGCAACAACTAACTCCTTAATAAAATGTAAATGGTAAATGGTAAATACCATGTACTTATATAGCGCCTTTATTCAAGTCAGGAGACTTGACCAAAGCACTTTACACTACATTCATTCACCTATTCACGCACACACTCAAACACTGATGTGGCAAGCTACATTGTAGCCACAGCTGCCCTGGGGCTCACTGACAGAAGCGGGGCTGCCGTACACTGGCGCCACCAGGCCCTCTGACTACCTTCAGTAGACAATGCAGGTGAAGTGTCTTGCCAAAGGACACAACGACACTGAAAGTCGGAGTCGGGGCTTAAACCATCAATCCTTCGATTTCAGGGCAAACTCCTACATCCCACGCCACTATCACATAAACAACAAACTATATCTGCTCTAAATTTCTCACATTTGTGGAATGTCATTAAATCTCTAAAACAGTGGTTTCCAAATTCAGTCCTAAGGGCTTCTATCTTGCATGTTGAAATTGCATTTTAGTAAAGAAAAACAGCAACAGCGGATTAAAAAGCTAAGCTGAGCCAAAAGGAACAAGTAACTAGCAGCTTCCTCTAAACGTGGTTGAGTGAAAGTTATAAGTACTACTAATATACTAATAAAACGTACTTAAGTACAGTAATCAAGTAAATGTATTATGATGTTGAGAGGATGTCTGCTGAGAGTTTAAAGGCAATATTAGTTTGATAATTGAAAAGTGAATTTATTTCTAGAGTTCACTTCAAAATTTGAAATTCAGACGCAATAAAGATTCAATATGTTTTAATAATTAATTCCTGTTAATTCTAGTGATCATGCCTACAGATTTCCTATTTTTCTGAACATGTTTATTTATGAATGTAAATGAATAAAGTGAGACAGGAATGATATAACCATGTTATGGTTTTCAATAAAAGGAAGATGAACTACAAATGATTAGGAAATGACCGGGAAAGATGGTTATTCACAGAACAGTTTCCAGACAAATGTATAGAAGGTTAGCAAGGAGGAAACATGTATGAGAAGAAAAATGGCACGAGGCATAATTTAAGCCTGTAGAAGGTTTTGAGGCCAAACCAATCAGTACTTTAAGAACATGTAGTTTCTACAGTCTGTGAAGATCTGTGGGGCTTTGTCATCTGCTGCTCATCTGGTGAACGGAGCCCCAACAAATACCTGAGTGCATATGTTGTACAGTAGTTCATGTCTACATTATATTATGGAAAACATAAATATTTGAGAAAATACATTTGGGGTTTACATAACCTGTGAGAACTGACAGAAAAATTAACCCTTTGTGTACTATAATTTAATCTTTTGACCTGAGTTATTGAAATAATTTTAAATTATCATCTATTAAGGTGTACTTTTGGAACATACTCTAAAAAACTGCTTAAGCAATGAACTTGGGTGCATTATTAAAAGCTATATATATATATATTTCTAACTAGAGCATTTCTATAGAAGCTTTTAATCTAGGCCTAATTGAAGTCATAAAAGCAACATTGACCAATATATATTTAAAAAAATAATTGGAATTCTTTAATATTGTTCCCAAAACGATTGCTTTAAGAGATTACAAGATTACTAATACATGTATTTAGAATTCCTACTGCTACAAAGTAATATTAGCAAAAGTCGTCATACTGATATTATAACTATTTAAAGCCTAGAAAATTAAACTAGTTTTCTGCTATATGAATTATGTGGATAAATTATAATTTAACCTTTACAAACACATGTGGCTCTCGAGCTACAGACTCCTCGGCTAGATCCTTACATTAAGCAGATTTTAAAAGTTAAATTCTTCGCCCGTGTGCATGTTAAAACTTCCAAAGCAGCTTAATGACTTTACTGAAATCCAAACATCTTTGTGAAATATTAACAATCTGATGTCCCCCCCCCCCCTCCCTTTTTATCTCTGTATGATTTTGTTTCTTTTCCTAGAAAAGACACGGTTTACAGATGAGCCACAGAATACCCACCTGAGAACCATACAGATCAATCTTCTGAATACTCACACAGTCAACCCTGTTGGTCTCAATAAATCCACCAGTAGCTTGATCCCACCCATCAGAGAAGCTGGGGATGAATGCTGAGCTCCAGACCCCATCCTGACATCTGGACAAATGGACCTCCAGGACGACTTTTTGATTGGATGTCAGTGCGGACCTGGATCTCCTGTAAACACATACTATCAAACTAACAACTGCTTTCCTTCCTACATTGTTGCAGCAATGTAACATCTGAGCTTAATTAAAACCATTAAGACAATCCTGATCCCTACTCAACTTTCCCTTTGCACAGCAGTGATCAGACTCCATGACTGTTTTTTTGTTTGCTTGTTTATTCCTTTTTGAGGAACTGGGATCACTTGAGGAACCAGAGGTGGATGAAGGACTATAGTTTTAAGAATTGCCTTTAAAGCTGTACATCAACAACTACTGCTACTGCATTTGAGTCACCTAGTCTGGTTGACATATTCTGTACAGTTTGTGTGTGTATTTTGCATCCAGCTGTAACCCCCTCACTCATCCACCACCACAGTGACATGAGGACTGATGTTGCACTCCATTTACAACAGGGGCTGAAACTCTGGAAGGCAAAGAGTAGTGCCCAAATGTGGGTAAAACTATGAATAGGTAAATGAATCCAATCAGCCCAAAGGTAACAGGGACAGCTTTGCAATTTAAGGATTTTTTTTTTTTATTTCAGTTCAGCCTTTAGGGGGCAACAGTGTAGGCTGATACTCCCCCAAATGCTACTCTCAGTTGAAAAGAATTAAATAGTTTTATATATATTTAGTTTCCTGGTAAATGGTTGGTAGAAACATCAAACCTTCTGGTGAGGAGCCATCTAATACATCCAAAATTTTGTCTAAAAAGAAAGCACTAACAATGTACCTTCATATGAGTGGCTAGTTTCTAATAAGAGAAGCAAGTCAATGCAACAAGTTCTGACCTTTCACTATCGGATGCTTTTGCCTCCAAAATCCCCACATAAGCATTTCTGGTTTGTTAAGGTCTACAATCAAAGCATAAGGTTTAATTAGTAACAATCAACTACATATTCAAACTAAGTATGAACAGTCGTTTTCCAACTATAGATTTACATAAACAACTACTCTGTGGCCCTTATGACTTCTTAATAGAAGCATTAAGGCATAGCAGCATCTTAAGTAAAACTGAAGTCTTGTAATACACTAAAATATTAGACAAACAAGACTGATCCACAGTGTAAAGTATGTCTACACAGAGTGTAGATTACATCCATTCACACTTTTTATACGGTATCTGTTTTATCGTCACGTTTCCATGTAAATCATCAAACATCTAAACGTGCTATCCTCAAAACTACTTAAAAAAACTGACCCCATATGGTGTTGGTTGAAACCAAATTGCTTATGGACAACTTATTTTTAAAATCTAGCTTAATAATCATGCAAACCGATTTACTATGGAGTAAATATTTTACTTAACTAGGATTAAATGATAAAATAAGTAATCATGTAACATAAATTGAGCCATTCATCAGAGCAACAACATTTTTATAGGAAGAAACACACAAAATAAAATAAGAGAAAATTGATGGAACAAGATTTTTACTCTATTTCAACAAGTCTTCCTTGGTGGAAAGTCTCCCTGTATAAAAAAAACTTAAGTGTTAATTACAGTTTTAGCCCCAACTGATACTTTTGCACAGTAAGTAATTTAAATCTCTTTTAAGCTTTTTGTTTTTCAAACAAAGTTTTTAGCAAAATCACCTAAATTAGAATATACCAATATAGTCCTACTTTATTTGTGAATAGACTGATTACCTTGTTGTCAATAGCAAATTTGAACCCAAGATAACAGGAAATGAATCAAACTAAGGCTTACATTACAATTGTATAAAATAATGAATTAATAATATAGATATATATAGATATAGATATATATAGATATACAAGATGGTTCAGCCCAAATCATAAGCTGCCTCATGAAAGTATACTTTTAAAAGCTTGCACATTGATGGATTGAATATTTTTATTTATTCATTTTTTTTTCCAATAAATGTGTGAATGTATGCCAATGGAATATTTAGTAAAAAATATCTCACAATAAAAGTTTGTATTATAATGGATAATTACCTACAGGCACCACTGCATACTATTATTAAAATAAATTACATATTTCTATAAAATCTAAAAATATATAATTCAATAAAACCAGGAACAATAATATGATATCCAAACCTTTTTAAAAGTACATTACTACTGAAAGAAAAATACTGACATTTAATATTTTAGAAATTGAGTAGAAGCATCCATTTATTTTTTTTCAGTGGTTTAAAATGCCAGTAAGAGTGGCAACTCCTGTGTAAATGCTCAATTGTATGTGAAAACTGAAAAGCAGAGAAAATTGGCAACAATATGCTTCATAAACAGGCTTTCTGCTATTACAAGTAGAAGGCATCATATATTTAATTCTTTGCTGTGGAGTAGAAAAACTCAACATGTTCTCAATAATTTTGGGGTGCTGGGTGGGATTAATTTAATAGCCAAAGGTGAAAACAAGAGTTTTTTTTTGTTTTTGCAGCCTTCAGAATGTTTAATAGGCATGGCAGCCATGTTGGTTGGTGTTGGTTAAAAATCCAGGATTGATGATTGAATTTCCAAGTGCAAATGGTGTGCAGCATGACTCTCAGTGTTTTCATTGCCTTTTGGAACTATTTTACAACATTTGTGAGGGTTAACATCTGTCAGTGAAATGACATGCGGCTCCAGCCTTATCTCTTTTCACATTTATTTGTTTTATCTTTGCCTTTTCAAGTCTATAAATGCTTTAAACACTATTCTGTTTGTTGAAAACCAAAACTACAGATTCATCAATATAGATGAGAAAAAAAACAACTTCTTTAGTTTTATGATAGAGCTGTTCGGTCTGTGATCTATTCATTAACATCCAACGCCATAAACAGTTTTCATGCATGGCGCACTTTTCCAAGCATGTAGGCAAGATAACTTTTTTAAAGCCATATATCGCATAAAGTGGGCATCTTTAAGTTCTCCTTTGGCTGCAAGCACTGCCTGGCACAGGATTGTCTTGGAGGCATCTTGAATGTACTCCATGACCAATCTTAATGCCATTACTATTCATTGCATGGATTCTCGACAAACAGCTCTATCATAAAGACTGGTTTGTGTTCAGAAACAAGAAGATTAAACAATAATAATCTTAGCTTATCTTCTATATCAGCTAATGTGGTTGCTTTGGTCTCAGCCAATGCTGAACTATCATATCTTATTCATAAAATTGAACATAGTAATACTGGCACTGCTGTCACTTTATTTACTCTACCATCCATAAAGCAGAAAGAAGTAATAACATTTACCCATAACATTCTGAACCCATACATAATGCTTCACACCCTAGCCAATAATGTTTATTGTATGTGTGAGTAAAAAAAAAAAAGAAAAAAGGTTTGTGACATTTTTACTGGCACTGAGAACATCCCAGCTATCCATCCTTCAGTGCTAGTAATGTGCCAGGCAGTGCTGAAGCCAATGGAGAACTCTATAAAGACCCACTGCTGCGAAAAGAGGCTTTTAGTTTTTTTTACGGAGAGTGATCAGACTTCTATTCTAATGTCTTAAAAACACTTCCCCCCACCATCACAAAGCAATGCATTTCATGTACATCTGTAAAACTTAATGTAAAGTATTTATTTGTAGCGTGTTCCTGTGTGATGGTAACTGTGGTGTTGAGACTCATTCGGCATTGCAGGCTTGCTTGTATTAATTTTGTGCTTTTTTTTTTTTTTAGCACATTTTCCAAACAAATAATGACTGTCCGAAAATATATGTCACTATATGCAGAAAAAAATATATATTTTCTTGTACAAATTTGCTTGTACATAATTGTACATGATTTCATTTTGTATTTTCACAAATTAAAAGCAGATGTATGGTGTCCTGCTGTTTAATGTGTTGTTTCTTTATAGATTTTTCACTCCATCACAGAATAACAGGGACAATATCAAGACACCAGCAGTTTTTTTTCAATGTCTAAGTAAATTAAATGATGTCTCTGAACTCACTGAGAATAAAAGGATGTTTGAAACAGTCCAGGTTCTCACCTTCAGGAAAGAGAGCGCCCATTAGGCTGCTTGTTAACGATTTTACACACCGTGGCATTGTGGGGGACTGTCAGCATGCCAATAACATTTATAGCCTAACACCTCCTAGTGAGGCGGCTGATTTTCCGGATCCTCCTGCCAGCGGCTGTGACACCTCAACTTAATAAACAAACACATCCAACCCTCCCTCAGCGATCAAGAATAAAGGGGAGGAATTTCACACTATGAATTACTGAAAATCTAGTGTCTTTCAAAATATTGTGTAAGGGGCACAAATCTTTTTCCATTTATCATGATAGAACTCCAAAATGATGCATGTCTTACTCTCATTTTATGCATTAGACCAACATAGACTGGTGCATCCAGTGTGTCAAGACCTTAAAAATCTTATCTTTTTTAGATTTTTGCACAAAAGTTTCTGCCCCTTAGTCTACACAAAATGGCCTGGTCAGTTATATTGAGGGCCATTATGACTATGAAATAGGTCCTGACTCAGACTAGGCCATTCCAGCCTAAATATATTCTTGAATAAAAAAAGATCTGTGATAGCTGTTAAGGGCTGGTGTCCTGCTGGTGGGTGAACCTGAGGCTAACTTACACATCTTATTCGGCCTTTAACAGTTTAGACTTTTTATTCCATATGATTGCCTATTCATTCATCCCCAAATGTCCACAACATGTTACCACAAGCATCCATAGAAGGGATGGAGTGTTTTCTTTTTGTTTTTGTTTCTTTTTTTATATCCCTACATATGTTTTTCCATGTAGTTCTAAATATTCAGTCTTTGGTTTATTCTTACCAAAGTAATTTATTTCACATTTGCTGTTGAACTACACGTTCATAGATTTCCCTACCTAAATTGTGGATCTTTACAGCTCCTCCAAAGTTGAAACAAGTTTCTTTGCTGCCTCTCTAATGAATACTATTGTTAATCAGACTATCAGTTTAAGTGGATCATGGTTTATTATGTAAAGGATTAAGATCCTGTTTCAAAATTTGTCCCAATTTGGTTTTGATCTTAGAGAAGACACTTGTTCTCTGATGCCTCTAACAACCCTTACTGAAAAGTTGTAATTATACTGCGATTTGAACATACATTCTTGGTTTTAGAGTAAAATGGGCTGCATTTGTGCACACCTTACCTTTCCGAATTTTAATAATCTTGGGTCGTTTTCCATCCAATTCCAAATTATGTGCTATTTTGTTTTTGTTTCAGTGAAACAGTTCAAAGTTCTTGGTTGCAACATGAGCAAATCCAAAATGCTAACAGGATGCAACAATTTACACAACCAGTTAAGTCAGAGTCCATGTTTTTTTGGTGAGTTGTTTTCTTAAATGTGAACAAGCACAAAAAAATCAACGGTTTTCTCTGAAGGCAACTCTTTTGCCTAGCTTACATGGGTGATAATAGTTTCCATGACAATGCAGCTCTCCAAGTGCATCAATGCCAGCCCACATAAACAGGGATCCTCTACCAAAACAAGGGGGTCATTACCGCAGCTTGTCAAATCAATGCTGAGAGTGTCCTGGCTGATTAAGGCGTCCCCTCGCAGTCCTGACACAGTGTCAATATTGGCTGGCCTGTAGCTGCACACTCCCAT